GCGGCATCGGGTCGTCCATGAACGGCGCAAAGAGCGTGCGACGGCTACTGGAAGAGGAGGCTTCCCATTTAGCAGTGTCAACAAAGGTGTCAATGACACTTGACGTCGCTTGCAGGTTCTTCGTCTGAAGGATGCTCACCACTCCAACGTCCTGCGTCGCGCCGGTGACGTCTAGCGCGGAATCCTCGGGAAAGGTGTACAACTGATCATCAGACGGGATCGGTAAGGCGGCATGGTGAAGGGTAGGGGGGGGGGCATGGGGCATGGGGCAGTAGGGGGGCGCGGGCCTGAGATCCTTTGGCTACGTCAACAAGACGAAGCTGGATGGCGTAGCTGAAGAACGGCAAGTACCGCGCCATGCTGAATTCGCAGCCGGATGCACCGGGGATGTCGCATGCCCCTGTCTTCGCCTCAGGATCTGTTCGGCAAACGTCGCCGACGCACCCCGAGATGCCGGCCTTGAGGGCCATCCAGTCGTACGTGCCTTGAGACCAGAACGTCTCTCCGCACTGGCGATTCCACTCCTGCAGTGTGGAATCGCCTGGCTCGAGGGTCTGGTCAAACACCCATTTGCGGGCGGGCTGTTCAGTTGCCAGGGGCTTCGCCCGGATGCGAGCCCCCGGCTTGCTCTCGACGCACGCAGGGCCGAGGTATTTCTTGAGCTTGAACTCGACGAGCTTGGTGTTGAGCACAAAGCCGGTTCTCGATCTCCCTTCCTCCAAACAGTCCGGGCCCACGTAGTTCTTGAGCATGTACCCCCAGCCTTTGGAAGACATGTCAACGTAGCCCAAGCACTCTGCGTTGGAGCTGCACCGCGCCTTGCAGTCCGCCTGGCTCGAGCAGACGCCGAGGTCAGAGTTCCCCCCTGGCGCGGCGCTGCAACCAGAGCCCTTGACATTCGTATCGGAGATGGGGTGGTACCTACAAGGGAAGGGGCGCGGTGACCTCCCGGTCTAGCGCAGACTCACACCGCCAAGTAAGGCGTGACCCGATTACATCGAGCGAGTAGCCGAGGCAGTTGTCGTCCTTGGTGCACAGCTCCTCGCAGTCGCTCTCAGTGCTGCAAGTGCCAATGTCGACGTCGCCGCCTGGTGCGGAGGAGCAGGGTGCGACGACCGTGTCGGGAAACGTCGTGTAGCTTGCCGGCGCGAAGTCGGCCGACTCCTCGTCGGTCCGGAGGCAGCTGAACGTCGTGGGAGTGGACGGAAACGTGCCGGGCGACTCCAGCGTGCGGCGTGTCATCGGGTCGGGCACGTCGTAGGCGAAGAAGAACGGCGGATGCTTGCACTGCTCAAGGAGATGGGCCTTGGCCTCCGGCTTGATCTTTCTCCCCTGCAGCGCCAGCCCGAGCGGAGAGAGGGAAGGAAACCAGCAAGGCACCGCAGCCTCTTTGCCGACGTCCCGGCCGACGTCCCGGCCGACGGTACTGTGGTGGAGCACCGTGTCGTCCGTCTCTGCCTCCTCTCCCTTGAACGCCACGCAGCTCCATGTGCCGGAGGGGCAAGTTTCGAGGGGCATGTAGTGATGCTTCGAGGTTGTGTCCACTACTACCGCCTTCGTTGGGGTTGGCTCCCGGTCCTTGAAGTCCGGATTGTGCAAAGTCGGGTTGCAAGTGTTCGACATTGCGCACGGCGTGAATACCGGCGTGCCATCGATAGTTTTGAAACGAGCGTTGCACTGCGTGCCGTCCGCCGGAGCCACGCACGCGAGGCTGCCCGCCGAGAGAACTGGCGCCGAGGACTCGAGGCTTCCGCGGGGCGGCAGCACCACCGTCCCCGGCAGAGGGCAGATCTTGGTCCAGCCGGGTTGTGGTTGCCATTCTGGATTCGGATTTGGGTCACAGACCCCCCTGTTTGGAATCGGGGTTTGGGCGACCTCCTTCCATTCCACCACGCAGCTTCCGTCGGTGCAGGCCTCCACTTCGGTGCAACGTGCGGGACGACCTCCGGGGTGACGACTTCGAGCGGCGGCGGGAGCGGGGGGGGCGACGGCGGCGGCTCCGGGTAGCCCTTCCATTCGCACTTGTACTTGCTGGTGTAGGTTGTTGTGGGCCTGCAGCCTCGACCGGCTCCGGGTGGGCACTTACTAGTGTAAATCTCGCGTTTCGTTTGTGTGCATGCGTAGTTGGTGCAGCACGCCCCGTAGTCGGGCTCGTCCTTGCCAGAGGATTGCCCTTCCTTGCACCCTTCAATCTCTTGGTCAAAGTCTCCAAAATCGCAGCCGCCGAAGATATTGACAGTACATCTCTTCGTATGTTCCTCCGCGTTCGAGCCTTGGCACCGGTTCGGGCCGCCCCACTGCATTTTGCGCCGCCTGTGCCAGCACGTCGCGCAGCATCCGGTCATGGCGTCTGCGTGATTACAGAGCCCATTCTCGGCGACGTCGTGGCAGCTCGCGATGCCGACAAGCCCGAGACTCTCAGCGTGCTGCGCGACGGCAGAATCGTCCACGTCCTGGCAGTTGCTTGGCTGCGAGGTTGTTTGGTCGACTGCGTGGTCGATTGTGAACCCGCGGCCGACAGCGACAGCACTGACAGCGAGCAACCAGCGCAACATGCCTGTGGGAACCGGCAAACGAGGGAGTGAGCCGCTAGACGACGGCGGGTGCACTAGCAATATGCCGCCAGAGTTTCCAGGTGCGTCACAGTGATCGCGCTGTGGCGGAGCGTCGAGCTGTTGCGAGCCGCCGGCGCTTGCGGGCACTCGATGGTACTGCCTCGCCACCGGCCGCGCACCGCGCCACAGCGGCGGAGCTGACCTTCTGGAAATGCTGCACCCCCTTCCAGGCTGTTCCCCTCAAGGTCTGAAAGAAAACCGAAGTGCATCGCCGACGACGCCCACGCGCCGACCGTCGTCCGCGAGGCCGCCGACATCGAACGGGCGGCGGAGTGGTGCACCGCCTACGTCAAGCTCTCGGAGCGAGAGCTCAACCTCTCCGCGAACGCGCGCAAGTTCAAGATCCTGCAGTCGCGGAAGTGGCATCGGTTCCTTCAGCCTCCAAAGCGGGATCACCCGAGAGCAGCTGAGCCTGCCTCTGGCCTCGCCTCCCTCTCCTTCAGGCATTCGTGGCATCCTATGGGTCGTCCAGAGTATCGACCTCTGGCTTGTCAGCCAGCCCCACTTTGAGGGCGCCATGAAGTACAGCGATCGCCATCTCGCTGGCCTCTCCGCAGGCCCCCCCGACCGCGTCGAACTCATCGGCGCGGGCTCTCTCGGCTACGGGACCGGCCCCAGCTTCGGCTGAGGCGTGAGGGCTGACAAGCTGCCGAGCCCAAATCACTGTGAGAGTCGTGATTTCTTGTTGATTAATAAAAAATCTCTCTCTCCGAGGTGCGATTCGGCAGCCCGCCCGCGTGCTGACGGACGGTCTTTCTGGCCTCGCGACACGAGGTCGTCTCCTTGGAGCACTTGGAGTGCAGTCGACTTGCTTGGGCGAAGAATGGGAGCTCTAGTTTGTAGCGAACCGAGGAGAAAAAGAAATGCCGGTGCGAAAGAAATAGCTGCTCGTGCATCCGCATCGGCTTGGGTTGTGAGCGCTCTGCGCTGCAGCGTTCATGCTCGCGACGCTGCACGCCTGCACAGCGCTGCGATTCGAAGCCACCAGAATGAGCGCCCCTGCAGAGTCAGCCGCCGTGTCTGCCGCGGCCATGAAGGCGGCGGCCGTCGCCCGAGAGCCGTTTCGATCCGGCGAGCTGGACCGTGCAGTCGCCTCGCTGCAGAAGCTCTCCGACTCTCCGATCGATGCGCAAGCGCTCCGCGAGTTCTACGCGAGCTCCGCGCATCACAACCACAAGGAGTGGGCACGCACTGAGCAGAACGCCGCCGCCCTCCGCAACGTCGTCGGAGGCCCTGGCGCCGCCGCCTTTGACACCATCTTTGCTCGCGTGCTCGGCGACGGCAACTATGACGCTGCTGCCGCGGCGGCGGAGGCTCGCGGCGAATCGTCCAAGCCGTGGGTGGTCCTTGTCACGGGCCTCAACGGCATCCGAAAGACGACGTCTGTCCACCAGCCGTGGTTCAAGGAGGCGCTCGCTGCGGCGCTGGGAGACCAGTTTGGCGGGCCGGCGGCGGAGCTGCCCGACGGCGCCAACTCCTTCTTCCGGCAGCTCGACTACATGGTCGCGACCCTCGCCCTGACCGAGTTCGAGGCGCTGTACACGCTGCAGGACGTTGCCGCGTACGCCGAGCGCAAGGACGCGATCTTTGCTCGCTACCGCACCGCGGCGGAGGCGTCTCGTGCTTGGGAAAGGGGTGTGCGTGGGGCGCCCCCCCTGCCCGAGCATCGGTTAGTGTGACCAGGTGCTCGGCGTGCTGCTGCTCCGCGCTGCGGAAGAGCGGCGGATGAACGTGATGGTGGAGACGTCAGGCCGCGACATTGGAATGTTCGAGTACGTCGAGCACCTCTTCCCGTCCGACAGCTACCGCAAGCTCGTCCTCAACTTTCGGATCAACACGCTCAGTTTTGCAGGCCCGCCCTCCTCCTGCCGTCGCCCCACTCCCCTCTGCGCACCCACTGCCCCTCAACCCGTGCCCCGCCCTCGCCCTCCACACCCCCCCCCCTATGTTTTGCAGAGCGGTCGGTGGACGCGCGGATGCTGAGGGAGATGGCGGATGGCTCGGCGGCGCTCGGCGGCGCGCCGGCGGCCCTGGTGCGCGCAAACGCGGGCGGCCCCTACGGCTCGGCCGCCCTTGCGGGCGTACAGGCGGACTCTCGCCGCGTGTGGGAGAGCGTGGTCGGCGGCGGCGCCGGCGGCGTTGGCGCGTCTTGGCTCAAGGCTTCCTTCGAGATCGATGCCGCCGCCGACGCGCCTTGGACGTGCCGCCCGGCGGCGGCCGGCTCGAGGCGCTTCGAGTTTGTGCCGCCGCCCGGCGCGACGCCGTGCCGTAGCGCGTAGGGATAGTCGTAAATAACGATGCAAAATGAAAACGGACACCTCTACTATGAGAGGCCCCGAGACCCGACACCACACAGTGCGAAGCACCGCACGGTCAGAGATCCGCTGTTATGTGTTATCATCTGATTCTGAACAGTTAAGTCGATCATGGAGATCCGCCTGGAGGTCCATCCTACCACACGCACAGTGATCATAGTTCATCCGCACCGCCCCACGCTGCCGCCACTCTCAGCGACCAATGCTCGCGGCCGGGCAACGCGCCCGTCTGGCTGCTGGCGAAGCGGACCACGAGCGCGTTGAAGAGCTCGGGCTCCTTCAGGTAGGCCGGGTGCGGCGCGTCGGGGAGGACGCACAGCTGGTGCGCCGCAAAGGTGCGCTCGTGCGCCTACGTGACAAGCTCACCAGGGTCAGGGCGCCGATGCGGTGCCGTGCCGAGTGCCGAGACACCGCGTGGAGAAGATCAAGGGTTGGAAACGCAGTGTCGCTCAGCCGAATACCAGCCGAATACCGATCCAGCCGCGCATGTGTCCTCTCTCGAGAGCTGGGCGGGATGGCTGCCGCGTCGACGCTCGTGCGCCTGCTCCTTAGCCGAGGTTGGCTGGTCGAGCGCGCCCCACACGAGGAGGGCGGGCACGCTCGACGGCCCGCTCGCGTTGCCGCGAATCCCGAGCGCGCTCACTGAGACATACCCTGCCACGCTCGGCGCCGTCTTTGGGTCGAGCACAAACGGCGCGCCGACAGAGCCGCCCGCCGAGGCGGCGACGACGAGGACGGAGCGCGGGCTCGCCGGCCAGCCGAGCGCCTTGAGGAAGCTACGCAGCAGGCTCGTGCGAACTGCCTCGGAGGCGTACTCGCCCGCGTAGTGCTTCAGCTCGAGCGCGACGACGCGAAAGCCGGCCTCGGCGAGCGCGTCGATCGTGCCCACCCACTTCCACGTGTCGGCGGTAAAGACCATGCCGTGGAGCAGCACCACTAGTCGCTTGGACGAGGCAGGTCCGGCTTGGAGGTAGCGCAGTGGCTCCGAGAGGTTGACGTCCGCCGTCTTCTCGGCGATCATGCCGCGATCTTCATAATTTGCGCGCAGCGAAGCCTCGAGATCAGTTCCGCGCGCGACGCCGTGCGTCAGCAGCGTGGCGCACAGCGCGAGCGGCAGCGGCGCTCTCATGGTGTGTCACACACCGCGGGTTGATGGAGCAGGATTGGCAGCACGAAGGGGTACCGGTACTCGAGCACCTCCTGAGTCACACCGGAGGCACCATGTCCGAGGAGGCCACCGGCCAAAAGCGCATGTCTTGAAGGTCCGATACTGGAAGCCCATATAGGCACCTTACAGATAGACAAGTGTTGTCATGACATCAACAGAGTCAGAGTAGAAGAATCTGACCTGGGGGCCGATGTGACCAAGCGCTGGTAGCGTGGTTTTACCGCCCACCCGTGATCTCACAGTGTGCCGGCAGTCGCCGAGGCCCGAGCAGTGTCGCTGACACAAGCCGCAGCAAGCACAAGTGACTGAGGGCCAGTGAGGGCGAGCCCATCGCTGTCAGTGTCACAACTGTGTGTGGCAGCCGCACAATCTGTGCAGAGCGTGTGAGCAGTAGAGGAGCTGCTCTCCCAGGCTTCTGTCGCAAAGAGATGCATGCCACCGAAGGCGCTGTCTGTCGAGGTGTTCGCCGAGCGGGCCGCGGCGCAGGTTGGAGGACACCATCTCTCTCTCTCCCGTCACCGACGAGCGCATTGGACTTTTCACTCCGGACAAAGACGGGTACACGCACACGAGCCGCGGTCGACACTGCTCTGGCAGCGTGCACCTCGATCCTGCACCGTGTTTGTTATGACCCCCCCCAATGAACATACCAGTGAGGGAGGGCGAGACGATCGAGGGGTCCCGTACCATGCGGAATCGACCCTATCCAGTGCTCAAGTGCTCAAGCCGCGGTCGTGTACCCGTCTTATTGCAATAGCGGCGAGCGAGGCGCGGGACCGTCTGTGGCGACGTGGGTCGCGTCCTCCGATTTCCGTCAACTCAGCATCCACACCCTCTACTCGAGTAGAGTCGGCGGCGAGGGGCAGAAATAGAATTTTACCACGAAACTCCCTCGCACGACACTAGGGTCTAGGCACAGGACTGGCGATCTCGCGAGAGAAAAGCGCCCGATCTCGCGCAATGCCCAATGCGGAGGCCAGCGCGATATTTCACCTGTTGTGTGGGTCAGCCAGGCTGCGCCACGCAGCTGGCCTTGTCGGTCGGTCGCGGCCTGCCTAGGCAGCCTCGCGATCGCGTCGCGAGGGAGCCTTACCCTTAGATGCTTGTACCAACCATCATGACGTGAACTTTCCCTAGTTAGTCAGAGCCGAGTGGCGTGCCTGCTCCACTGAGTGAGCACTGTGATCTGTCGATCGAGCACCTCCTTCCTCGCCTACGAGTAAAAAAACGAATCGGTGCACGGGACGGGGCAAAAACGCCAGGCTACACGGGAGGCACGTGTACCTCGCTACGGCACCATACCCGGTGAGGGAGGGCGAGACGATCGAGGGGTCCCGTACCATGCGGCATACCTAAAACAAAAAAAATGCGGAATAGACCCTATCCAGTGCTCACCATACCCTGTCCCCAACGTCCCATTAAAAGCACGTAATCTGCAACGACCATCCACCCAGACGGCGAGTGTATCCCGTGCCCGCACCGGCTGAGCAGTGCTGCATCTAGCGCCGCCTGCGACATTTGCCTCGAGGGCTTTTACTTGAAGGACTCGCGCGCGGCGTCCTCTGACATCTTTGCCGCCCCGGCCGAGCACTGCAAGCCTTGCCCGCCTAACGCCGTCTGCCCGCGCAACACCACCCTCGCTTCGCTGGTCGTCCCGCCCGGCCACTGGCGTGCGAGCCCCTTGAGCGCCGTGCTGACAGAGTGCAGCGCGTTTGGTGGCAACCGCTCTCCCCAGGAGCGCTGCAGCGGAGGAACGCATTGGGCCGGCGCCGGAGCAGGATATTGCGCCCCCGGCTTTACCGGCCCTGAATGCCAGCTCTGCGTTGCTCGGAACCACCATCTTGTTGATGGAGCGAGATGCGAGGCGTGCCAAGATGATGCGGAGATGGCGGGTCGCGTCGTCGCGGTCGGTCTCAGCCTCTGCATCGCGTGCGGCTTCCTGGCGTGGGCCTACTCGAAGCAGAGCTGGCGGCAGAAGGCGGCGGCGGGGGACGGCTTCCCGGAGGCGGGCGATGCGAACGGCGCGGGCAGCGCGGTTGTGGGGGGGGGCGGCTTCTTCCCGGAGGCGGGCGATGTGGGCGAAGCGGGCGAGGAGGAGGCCGAGGGCGGTGGTGTTGATGACGACGATGACGACAACCCGGAGCCAGATGCTGCAAAGGCCGCCTCTCGTTTGCCGCACCCGCGCGCCGGCACGATGGCTTCGGCCGCCACGATGGCTTCGGCCGGCGGGTCGTCGAGCGCTGCCACCACCACTCCCGCCTCCGGACCGGACGGCGGCGGCAGCCGCGGGGTCGGGCTGGGCGGCGATGCACTCGGATTTGCGCGATTTGGCGCTGTGCTTCGCCTCACTGACCTCATTGTCGAGTGGTGCATCGCGGTTGGCCTCCGGGCGAAATTTAAGATCCTGCTCAGCTTCTATCAGGTCTGCAGCGTCCTGTCAACCACCTACTCGGCGCGGCTGCCAGACAAATACACCAATTGGACCAACCGGCTGTTCAGAGTCATAAACGTCGATTGGACCAGGTTCTTTATGCCCGCCCAATGCTTGCCCTATTCTTTGCGACTCGTAGCCATTGCCGTCGGCCCTGTCGCTGTCATCGCCCTGCTGCTGCTCGGGGGCGTAGCGCTGCGAGCAAAGCGCTGGTTGGCAGGAGCGGCTACGAGCGGCAGCGGCAGCAGCAGCGGCGGCGGCGGCGGCGGCGGCGGCGGCAACAGCGGCAGCAGCAGCAGCGGCGGCGGCGGCGGCGGCAACAGCAGTGGCAGCAACAGCAGCAGCAGCGCCGACTCCTCGCCGAGCCCACCCAGTGGCTTTGCCAAGGTCGTTCTTCACGGCGTCCTGGCAATGACGCCACCAAGCCTCCTCATCATATTCTGCTTCGTGTCGCCCGTGAGCGCCTCCATTTTCCGCGCGTGGGCTTGCACAGCATATACCATTTCGCAGCCTGATGCGCCTCTGGAGCAGGTCTCGTACATGATGGAGGATGCCCGTGTGGAATGCGGCACCGGCCAACACGATTCGATCACTCTCCTCGCCGGCCTCCTACTCGGCGTCTGGCCGTTTGGCTCGCTGGTCCTGAACGCGCTGCTCCTGATCCCGTGTGGCAGGGCACTGCGGTCTCGCAACTCCACCGCAATCACCCGCGCCACGGCTTTCCTCCACGCAGAATACAAGGTGAACTGGTACTGGTGGGAGGAGCTCGAGCTGGCGCGCAAGATATTGCTGACCGGCGCGGTGCTGCTAATCCCGGAGGAGCGCGCCTTCCTTCGCCTCGTGGTGGCGACCCTCATCTGCTCGTGCCACGTCGCGCTCGTCGCCGCCATCAAGCCGTACAAGCGTATCGAGGATTCTGTCCTCGCTGTCGCGACGAGCCTGGTCCTCCTTCTCATTTTCCTGGGCGCCAATTGGATCTCGATCTTCCTGCGCGTCGAGGAGCGCACCGGCCGAGACGATGCCGTCGCCGTCCTGGGCTTCTCCGACGTCTACGCCATGGCAGATGCGATGGTCGTCCTGACCGTCGCGGTCCTCCTCGGTTTCCTCGTCGCTGCGATTGCAGCCGCGCGCCGCATGGCTCGCAAACCAATACTCCGGCTCTCCTCGACCAAGCAGGCGCCCGAGCTGACTCTGGGCACCGGCCTGACGTGGCACCTCTTCAACAGCCACGTATGGTCCTCCGGTCAAGACGCCGCCGCCGTCATCAAGACCGAGCTGCGTCACCTGCTGCCCGGCATCAAGATCTTTCTCGACGTGGACGACCTCGAGGACCTCGGCTCCTTGGAGGAGTACATCCAGCGCTCTCAAGTCATCCTCATCTTTATGACCAAGGGGTACTGGCGCAGCAAGAACTGCCTGCGAGAGGTGTATGCGTCGCTGGGCCAGGGCAAGCCGCTCGTGCTGGTCCAAGAGATCGACCCGACGAAGGGAGGAGGCACCCTTGAGGAGCTGCGCGCCGAGTGCCCGCCCGCACTGAGGACGGCCATCTTTGGCGCCGGCCGCCGCGTCGTGACGTGGCACCGCAAGGTTGAATTTCAGGCCGTCTCGCTCAAGATGATCGCCGAGGGGCTGCTGCTGCACACGCCCACCTATCTGACGGAGACGTCGCTCTCCCTCGTCGTGCCGGGGGAGACCCAGCTGCACGACCTCGCCTTCACCAAGCCTGTTGTGGTTTGGGCCTCGCCCGCCAACGATGGCGCGAGGGCCCTGGCCGCTGAACTCGCGAGAACCTTTGTCGGCCTCACCGTCACGGAGGACGCGCCCGAGACGGCGACCCACATGCTCCTCTACCTCTCCAGTGCGAGCTTTACGGACCCACGGCTCGCTGAGCAGGTCGAGGCGGCGCGCGCCGCGAGGCTGCCGATCGTGCTAGCGCACGAGAACGACCCTCAGCGTGGTGGCTGCCCGTTCTCGCGCTTTTTCAAGACCACGCCGCAGGAGCTCGTCTCCGGCGGCCTATACGACGCACTCGCGATCGCCTTCTTTTGCGGACCGCACCGCGAGGCGCCCCGCCTCATCCCCTGGCGCCACACTAACCTCCCGCTCACTGAGGGGGATTTCGACGAGCCGGTAGGTGTCGCTCTCGCTCCTGGCAAAGGCTCTCGGTGCGAGCCGGGCAAGTCGGACGCTCCGCGCACGATCCTCCGCCGTCGCCATCCGGCGTAGGGCCTCGCTCACGCCGGGCTCGCCCGTTTAGACTGTAAGGCAGTGTCACCTCGGGGGGGGGGGGGGGGGGAGGGGTCGCTGCGTGAACAGGCTGTTGTCCCTCCTGCGGCAACGGGCAGCACAGCGTCGGCGGGTGTGTGTGAGTGGCGGCGACAAAGGACCACCGGTTTGTATTATTAACAACGAAGGCGCTCTCCAAAAGGACAAAATGGGGGGGCTTTATGCCCATCGACGAGATACAGCTTCTTGGATAGATGGATGGCGTCCGCGCCGCAACATGGAGGCAAAGGAACAGCCCAGCACACGACGGGGACGACGCGCCCCGGGTTCAGCGGAACACGCGAACATAGCGCGGCGGCCTCGGTGTGTGCGCGGGTGCGCGGGGTGCGTGGGCAAGTGCAGAAAACCCCCCGGGACCGCGTATACGCATCTCTTCTCAGTTCACAAAAGCTACGACGGGCACGACGGCCAAACGCGGTAAGAGAGAGATGAACGCAGTGGGCGAGCCAGGGAAACGGCCAGGATCCGAGTTCATCCTACGCTCACCATAGCCACTGCGGCCCGGTGCCGCCGGCCGGCTCGGTCGCACCTCGGCTCCCTTCGCCTTAGTTCTCGGCGTCGACCGCCGCAGTCCGGAGCCACGTGACAAACGGCTCGACGCAGCGGCGAAGCGACGGCCTCAACGTCTCCGCCCACCCCAGCAGCAGCTCCTCCTCTATCAAGTCGGCCTCCCAGAGCGCCTTGAGCAGCGGCGCCGCCTGCGCCAGCAGCGCCGCCTCGCCCAGCGAGTCGCACGTCGCGCGCAGCAGCTCGAGCTGCGCCTCGCGCCGGTCGGCGCACCGGCACACCAGCCACCCCACCGGCTGCTGCCACGCGCCGACCACCTACAGGACATGCCTCGGACGTGTCCTGCACGTGTCCTGGGCACGGGCTGCGGTCACGCGCCGACCACCTCGGCCGCCGCCGCAGTCGAGGCGGCCCCGCTCGGGTCGGCGGCCAAATCGACGCCGGCGGCGGCGAGGCGCGCTACCACGACGGAGAGCAGCGGCGCGAGGAGCCTAGAGGACGGTCGGTAGAAGGTTCGGAGAAGCTCGGCTGGCGGCTCGAGGCCGGCGAGCAGGAGGGGCGCGCCGCTGCGGCGCGTGCTCCTCGCATAGCACCAGCAGCCCGCCGCACACTGCGAGCGGTCCAGCGGCGTGCTCCGCCAGCTGCGCCACCACCTCCACAAGTGGGCGGCCGCGCGCGCTGAGGACGGCGCTCGCAAGCTCCGACTCACGCTTGAGACGCGCGTCCGCGGCCGCCTTCGCGCTCGCCGCCGCCGCCGCCAGCTCGGCCGCCGCCGCCTCCCGCTGCTCGGTCGCCAGCCGCTCCTTTTCTGCCGCCTCGGCCGCATCCTTGGCCGCCTTTGCCTCGCGCGCCTCCTTTCGCTCGCGGTCGCGCTCCGCCTTGCTCTTCGGCCCCTTTGCGCCGCCGCCGCCCGCGGCCGCCGCCTCCTGCGCCTTCTTGGCAGCCACACGCTCGAGGCGCTCCTTCTCTCTCCGCTTCTCCTCCGGGTCCTCGTCGGCAATCGCGTGGAGCTGCTCCTCGAGCATCTGGCGGTACTCCTCGAACTCGCCGCGGAAGCGGCCGACCTTTTGGTCCTCGATGACCCAGATCTCCTTGCAGACCTTGTTGATGAGCTCGACGTTGTGCGTGATGACGAGCACGCCGCCCTTGGTGAGGGTGAGGGTGAGGGTGAGGGTGAGGGTGAGGGTGAGGGTGAGGGTGAGGGTGAGGGTGAGGGTGGGGGTGAGGGTGAGGGTGGGGGTGGGGGTGGGGGTGAGGGTGAGGGTGAGGGCGAGGGTGGGGGTGAGGGTGAGGGTGAGGGTGAGGGTGAGGGTGAGGGTGAGGGTGCCTTGAAGTGCTTGAGCCCCTCGACGAGGCAGTCCACCTAATGATGATAATAATAATCATAATACTAATAATAACAATAATAATAACAATACTAAGAATGAGAAACGAGGCAGTCCACCGTCTCAAGGTCGAGGTGGTTGGTCGGCTCGTCGAGCAGCAGGAGGTGCGTCTTGCGCAGCCCCATCTCGACGAAGACGACGCGCGACTTCTGGCCGCCCGAGAGGGTCGCGATCTCCTGCAGGTGGTGGTGGCCCTCGAGCCCAAACTTGCCCAGCGCGTTGCGGATCATCTGCACGTTGAGCTCGGGGAAGGTGTGCCGCAGGTACGAGACGGGCGTGAGCGCCTCGCCGGCAGCGAGCCGCACGCCCTTGGCCAGCTGGTCGGTCGAGTGCTGGTTGTAGAAGCCGATCTTGCACATGCGCGACTGGCGCACCTCTCCCTGCGTCGGCTCGAGCTCGCCCAGCATGAGCTTGAGCAGCGTCGACTTGCCCGTGCCGTTTGCTCCGACGAGTGCGATCCGCGAGTCCATGTTGAGCCCAAAGTCGACGCCGGTGAAGAGGAGGGGGCCCGGCTTGACGAGGGGAGGCCCGTCGGGGTTGGCCGGGTCCTCGCTCTCGATGCTGTACCGAAAGTCGACCTCGTCGACGGCGAGGATCGGCATCGGGATCTCGCCCGCCACCGGAAACGTGATGTGCATGTTGAGTCTGCCGGCGAGCGAGTGGGGTCGGCTGCGGGCGAGCGAGTGGGGTCGGCTGCGGGCGAGCGAGTGGGGTCGGCTGTGGGCGAGCGAGTGGGGTCGGCTGTGGGCGAGCGAGTGGGGTCGGCTGTGGGCGAGCGAGTGGGGTCGGCTGTGGGCGAGCGAGTGGGGTCTGCTGTGGGCGAGTGGGTGAGCTCGGCTGCGGGCGAGGGGGCTGCCGCAGCAGCTGCCGCACCCCTTGATCTCGTCGAGCATGCCCTGCTCGTCATCGGAGCCGTCGCCGCCGCCCGCGCCGCCAAACCCGGCGAGCTCCCTCTGCTTTTGCGACGCCTTGCCCAGCACCAGCTGCATCTGCTTCTTGTACGCGGTCGTGTCGGCGCCGCCGTCCTTCTTGCCGAGCTCCTTGCTAACCTTGCCCTGCCTGCGCAGATCCTTGAGCTTCTTCTGCTGCCGCGTGTACTCCGCCTGGTACTCCTCGAGCCGCGTCGAGAAGACCTTTGCGAAGGTCTCGTACCCGCCCTTGTAGTCCTGCAGCTTCGACTGCCAGCAGTGCAGCGTGTCGGTGCAGACGGTGCCCAGAAAGTCGCGGTCGTGCGAGACGACCACGAGCGTGTGCTTCCACTTTTGGAGGTAGCCCTCGTTGGTTATCCTGGAGCCACACTGAGGTAAGAGCGAGGTTCGCTTACGCAGCCGATGGCGCGGCTTGCGGAACAGCGCGCGCGCGAGCGAGATCCGCATCCGCCAGCCGCCCGAAAAGGAGGCCGTCGGCCACGCCTTTTGCTCCTCGAGAAACTGGAGGCCGGAGAGGATGGCGGAGGCGCGCTGCTCGGCCGAGTCGGCGCCGATGTCTTGCAGCTCGTCGTACACCTCGTTGAGCCGCTCCTCGTCGTACCGGACCACGTCCTGGATCGTGATGTCGCCGTCCTTGTCCTTCTCCTCGAGCACCGTCACCTCGCGCCCCTCAAAGGTCAGCTTGGCGCCGACGGCGAAGGAGTCGCCCTGCAGCTTGGCCTCCTTGATGTAGCGCACGCCGCCCGCCTCCAGCTCGTCCGGCGTGATCCCGTTCGACTCGTCCAGCGACAGGTTGTACGCGTCGGTCAGCCTCTCGAGCGTCCTCGCCTCGGCGAGCAGCGCGGTGCGGCGCGTGTCGGCGGCGACGACCATCTGCAGCGCGGTGATCTCGTCGGAGGCGGCCACCTCCTGCTCGACGAGCAGAATGTCCGTGTTCGGCGGGATGGCCTTTTTGATCTCCTCGCACGTGCCGTAGCCGATCGCGTGCATGAGCGTCGACTTGCCGCAGCCGTTGGGGCCAATCAGGCCGTAGCGGTGCCCGTGGATCAGGGCGAGGCGCGCGTCCTTGAAGAGCGCCTTGCCGCCCATGGAGATGGAGAAGCGCGGGCAGATGATGTCGTCGGAGCCCTCCATCTTGTTGCCAGGGGGTCGCGCCGCGCGAGACCTCGCCTAACACCCGCGTACGCGTTAAAAAAAAAACTTTGTTATCCCGTATTCGGATTTTGCTATTTGTTCGTGGGGTATATGGCAGATTTGTCAATGGTACCGCGTCTGCGACGCGGGCCTCTTGCGGCACCCTTTACATACATCTTGCGCGCTGCAGGCGCGGTCAAAATACATGTAACGCAAAAAACAAATCATCAGCCCTCCAGGCCCCAAATGACGTGTGAGTGTTAGAGTTGTTTGGTATTGCTAAAAATCTCTCTCTCTAAATAACGCAACAAAAAATCACAACAAAGCCCCTAGCGTTTCCCGTAATTACCAAGAGTTGCCAGCGTGACCACAGCGCACAGGAAACCCAGAACGTCGCCTCGAGACAAACAATGGTGCGCGCGCCCGCCCCGCCCGCGCCCACGGCGGCCCGCGCGCGCGCGCGCGCGGTAGTAGGAGTAGGCTGCGGGTCGTACCGCACCGGTGGTTCACCACCGGTCGCTGGTCCTCGGGAGCAACGAACCGAGCAGCCAGAACCATGTGCGCCAAACAGCAGCACATTTAGCGACTAGCAGAGCACCAGTCGAGGTGCTGCCCGCCGAGGCCCGAGCACGCGAGGAAGCGCGAGACGGGGCGGCGTGTGGGCCGCCCGGCGAGCAAAACGACCGGTGCCGCGCGCGTCGCGTGCGTCAAGCAGTCGAGAAGGTCGAGAAGGTCGAGAAAGAAGGTCGAGTCTCGAGAAGGTCGAGAAGGTCGAGAAGGTCGAGAAGGGCGAGAATAGGGTGCCCACAGGACCCAAAAAAAGAAAAGAAAAAAGAAATGGGCCACCCCCGATCGCAGCACTTCGTGTTGGAGACATGGAGAGTCGAGATATTGAGAGTGTGACTAGGAGGGTGGGACGCTGGGGATTCTCAAAGGTATACCCTTGGAATGGCCGGATCCAGCCTTAAAAGTACGAGATCGCGCGCGCTTCGCGCGCTGCACCGCCTGTTCTCCGCGGCTGCGTGACGAACGCGCGTGCCGTGTACCAGCAGAGTTGGGCGCGCGCGGCGCGACGGCGCCCGCGAGGGAAGGCGCGGGTGCAGCGGCCGCCGGCGGCCGTACCGCCCGCCAGCCGGCGCAGCAGCGGCCAGCGCAGCGGCCGCCGGCGCAGCAGCCAGAGCAGCCGGTGCGCGCCTTGCGAGGCGAGTACTGCCGCCCGGCAGCCTTGAGGCGGCCGGGCGGCAGTACTCGTTCGAACTTTGCGAGCCGTGCGCGCGCCGAGGCGCCCGCGGCGCCGCGCCCGCCCGGCTGCCAGTAGGAGGCGGCGCAATATGGCCTATAGTACAGCCCTTGAGGAGGAGGAAGAGGCTGGCTGGCAGTGCTGTATGCCGCCGAGGGGCAGTTTTGGGGTGCTGTCCCCATCCCAGGGGGCTGCAGAAGGCGTCCGCAACCGGGACAACCCGCCCCCCCCGCCGAGGCCGGTCGAAGCCCACTTGAGCACAGCCATGAGGAGTCCTCTTGGTGCTCCTGGCGGCCGTTCAAAGCTCGGGCGCGCGCCGAGGGGGGGGGGGGGTCTTGCTTGCTCCACATCGAGCGCGCCATCGGTCCGGACCGGTGCGCGCAATGAGGGTAGGCCTGCACAAGGTCTGAGCCGCGGGCGCTCGGCGCCAAGTGCAGTGTCACGCATGCATGCGAAGGGGACACAATGGGGAACCCTCGTTTCCTAGTCACTCGGTCCCCCAACTACGGAGGAGGCCTCGCTCCTATTGGAACACTCCAACACATCAGATTTGCCTCGTGCGTCCCTTTTTGAGTCGGAAAGCTATTTTCTTTTGGGTCCTGTGGGCACCCTACAGTAGCCTAGTAGTTTCGACTGCCGTGTGCCCCGAGGCGCGAGGGCGGAGGGCCGCTGGGGGACGGGAACGCTGGCGTAGATGATGGTATTACACACCGGCGCACACTCGAGGGTCAACACATACATGGTGTTTCTTACCTACCTTACCCTTTGCATTACCTCCACGCTTCAGCCAACGCTGGCCACGTGCCAGCCCCGATCACAGTGCGACCCAGCAGCAGCGCTGGGCTCTGCGGCACAAAGAATCGTTCGGTCGCACCTCGGCTCGTTGTCATCTTCCAACCGCCTCCTCGGACAGGGTTTTGGAGGCTCGGGGTGGAGGGCCAGTGCTGCAGCGAGCCGCTCGCGCTCGAACGCAGTCGGCGCTCCCTGCACGCTGCGTGGGATGCGGTGGCAGGCCGTGCCGCAAAACCAGGGCCTCTGGACTTTGGTCGGTCCAGCTCTGTGAGAGCACGCCCTGTCCCAGCTGTTGTGCTCGGCCGAGCTTTTGCTCGGTCGCGGCCCTGGCTCCATGGCGGCGCGGCGCTGCCCTGTCGTTCGGCCCGCCACGACGCCGTTGGGCTGCCGGCTAGGGGAGACACCAGCGTCGAGGAAGAGGACGGCCGAGTCGGGAGCGCCGGCTCCGCTCTAGGATCAGCGCTACTTGCACGAGCTGCTCCTCCTGCGCACGGATGTCTCCTCCTCGGAGGTCCGACCACCCCTGCACTCCGAAGTGGGCCCTGAGCTCGGCTAGCGCCCCGTGGGGCATGACACTCGGCTGCCCGTCCTCCCTCTTTCTCGTGCGCGCCTGTTCAAGGCTGTCTCGCAGGTGTGTGGCCTCGCCAGGCGAGAGCCCCTCCGCCAGCCTGTGCTCGGGTTCCCACCTGTCCGTATCCCCCAGTAGGGGGAAGCCCTTCCATTGCACGAGGTATTCCAGCTCGTTCGGCGCTCCGGACTCGCGGACGTCGACGATGCGCTCGATCTCGTACCCCTGCCGGTACTTGTCGATCTCTTCCTGGAGCGGCGCGACGTGACGAGGCGGGTCCTCGCCGTGCCACTTGTCGGAGGAGGCCCGGAGCCAGCGCACTGCCACCGCGTCCCGCAGCGTGACACCCACCACAGGTTCTTGTATTCCAGTGCGATCTTGTTTTCCCAGCTGGACGTTCGCCCTTGGGTATGCACCAGCAGGCGATCGCTCATGACCTCCCACGGGGCCCACCCCTTGGCGTGGTACATGTCAACCCATCTCACTAGGCCCAGCCCAACAGACGGCTTCTGAGGAAGCCGTCGCCCGCGCCTTGCCTGTCGCGCGAATCGTGTTGTGCGCGATTCCTTCTCAGTCGTTCTTCACACGGCAATCGCAGAGTAGATTGTGAAAGAGCTTGCCTGCGGCGAGGGCGCCGTGCCCAGTGTAAAGAAAGAAATTTTACGCTAGGGAGCACATCGCGGAGCACTTGGACGGCACTTGGAGTGCAGTCGGCAACCTCACATCCAGGGCCGGGGAGCTCAGAAGCGCACCCAGCGGGCCGGATGATCGGTATCGGGTTACGGGCTAGAGAGCCCTAGCCCCGGGGGTGCGCGGTCGCAGGGCCATAACACAGGTCTCCGAGGGATAGCTCCGCGCTCCGGGTTTCCCCTAGCAGCAGAACGCACCCTCTACTCAGAGCTAGTAATACGAGAATACTCTCCGAGGGTTAGCCCCGCGTACCAGGTTTCCCCTTAACTGCAGCACGCCCCCTCTACTCGGAGCTAGTGATACGGGAATACGTACCGCCCCCACGCAGTACCTGTACTACTCGACGATAATACAAGAATACGCAGCTTGGAAGTTGCAGACGCCTATAAAGAAAAAACAGCACGCTAAATTTCGGCGGCTAAAAAGCAAAGGACGGGCGCTTTTGATCGGCAAAGCAAAGTTGGAGTAACGGCGACCGCGTCACCACAATGCCAGTCGCCTGTCGAGCAGCCTTGGCGGCGCGCATGCGCCGCAGGGTTGACCGACGGCCGCGCGCCTCGAGCCTCTCGCTCCACTCGCGGCACGACGCACCCCGCGCGCCGGTCAGCGCAACAGGAGTATTGCGACATGCTGCACAACGCCAAGGACAGCACTGAGAAGCTGGCGCCAGTCGCCCACCAGCATGTCTCAGCACCGGGTGAGGGAGCATGCTGCGCACGCTGATGCAGCACGAGGTCACCACCAATCAGGCCCTCACGCCACTGCACGGCCGCCCTCGAGCACCAGCAGCCGCGCTGCGCCATGCTCAAGCTCAGGAGGCCACCCTGCTTCTCGCAGCTTTGTGCAGCGCAGCGAGCGAGCAGCGCCGCACCAGGCGGACCCATGGCGTACTCAGCCAGCCGTGAGGCGGAGGCAGGCCGAGTGAGCGCGAGCCGCGCGGGAGGCCATGCCCCGCGCACCGGCGAGCGAGTGGCACGAAAGAGTGCAAGAGTCGCGCATGCTTTTGCGTAACGGTGGGCAACGCGGTAAAATTCTTTCCAGGCCTCTTGCCGGCTCGCCTCGACCTGTCACTCGTCTCAGTGCAAACTTTCGTCTCAATATGTGGTGGAGATCCGCTCTACTCCTGCTCCTGCTCTCGTTCCGTCAATCCAGCGGCTCCGCTGAGGACGAGGCCGTCCCGCGGATGTTGCAGCTCTTCCAGCAGGCGGTCGCGTACGACGGCACACTCCCGCTCACGGTGCTGCCGTTTGACCTGGCCGGCGAGGGAGGCGGTCAGAGTCCCGCCGCTGGCGGCTCGAGCGGCTCGGCGTGGAGCGTGGAGTTCGCGGTGCGCGAGGCTGCGCCCGCCGTCCCTCTCACGGAGCCAGCGCGCTCCTTTGACGCCGCCTTTGACAGCGTCGGCGCTGCGCTCATCGAGGGCAGGTTCGGCGAGGCGGGCGCGGGGCTGCACGCTCTGTGCGAGCGGGCGGCGGCGGCGGCGGCAGCGGCGGCGTCCCGAAGCGGCGGCGCTGATGCCGACGCGCGCAGGCGCGCGTCTGTCCTCGAGCCTTCGGGAGAGGTTTGCCGAGATTCGCCGAGATTGCCCGGGATGACCCGAGGCGGTGTCAGAATTAGGCTCGCGTCGGTCCTCGTGCCGTGGGGAGAGACGTGCGCGCTGCTGTCGGCGTACCTGCCTCCGGGGCGGGCGGACGAGCCGCCGCCGGCGCAGAGCGGGAGCGAGGACCACCGAAGGCTGACTCTGCTGCTGCTAGAGCTCGGCGGGCCGCTGCTCCACTACGCCCTCGTCGGCGTCGTTAATGAGGGAGGAGCGGTCATTCATTAGGCGGGCCGCTGCTCCACTACGCCCTCCTCGGCGTCCTCGCCGAGCCACTCGTGTCCGCCCAGTCGCTCGCCCGCCTCGCCGACGCCTCGAGCCGGCTCGGCGGCGGCGGCACGACTCGGCGCGCCGCCCTCGCCTCCGCCGTCGCCGCCGCGTCGTCGCCGTCGGTGGCGTCTCGCTCGAGGGCTGCGGACGAGCTGCGCAGGCGATCTCGCCTCATCTCGCTTTCATCTCGCTTTCATCTCGCTTTCATCTCGGGCCATCTCGCTTTCATCTCGGGCCATCTCGGGCCATCTCGGGCCATCTCGGGCCATCCGAGGGCGGGTGAGCTGCACGGTGAGAATAAGAAGACGAGTCATGATGACACAGGCAGGGGCTCTGCGATACCGCCGAGTCCTCGCCCTCCGACGAGGGAAGCGGCGAGGGGAAGGCGGAGGAGCTGGGGTTGAGCCGTTCTCGGCCGAGATATGCCGAGATATGATGGCGAGAGGATGGGCGAGAGTAGGCGGAGCGCCAGCTGGGCGTGCGCGTCTGCGCGGCGCTGCTGCTGCGGGCGCGCGCAGAGGGCCTCTCGCTGACAACCCTCTCTCTGTCTCTCTCTCTCTCTCTCTCTCTCTCTCTCTCTCTCTCTCTCTCCCTCCCTCCCTCTCTCTCTCTCTCCCTCTCTCTCTCTCTCCCTCTCTCTCTCTCTCCCTCTCTCTCAGATCACGCGAGATCACGCGAGATCACGCGAGATCGCGCGAGCTCGCCGCGAGATCAGGCGGCGCGCGAGCACGAGGCGGTGGAGGTGCTCACGGCAGAGGTGGTCGCCTCGCCGACGCTGCACGCCTACCTCAGCGCCTTTGCCGTCGCGTCCCGCCTCCCGCCCCCCAAAGGCAGCGGCAGAGGCGGCGGGCACAGCTCCGGTTCTTGGCGCGGCTCCATCTTGTTCACCGCGCGGTCCGTTGGTGCACTCAGGAGGCGGGCGGGCGGCGCGGCTCCGCTTCTCGCTAGAGGCGATGCTCGAGGTGCTCGAGGCCTCGCTGCAGGCACCGCAGCACCGCAGCACCGCAGCACCGCAGCACCGCAGCACGGCCTCTAAGCTCATCTCGGCGAATCTCGGCGAATCTCGGCGAATCTCGCCGCATCTCGGCGAATCTCGGCGCATCTCGCCGCATCTCGCCGCATCTCGCCGCATCTCGCCGCAGGCACCGCAGCACGGGCTCGCGTCGGAAGGACACCTCCTCCGCTGGCAGCTCCGCCGCATGCTCGGGTTCGGAGTCCCGCCTGCCGGAGGCGCCGCCGCGCCGCCCCTCGATTGCCCGCCGCCGCCGCCGTCGCCGCGGCTGGACGCGCCTCGGCTGCTCATCGTGATGCCGTTTGTCGCTGCCGAGCGGCGCCGGTTGACCGAGAACTTAGGCTGCCGGGCCTTCTTTCTGCTGAGGTCCGTGCGCCGCCAGCTTCTGTCTTGAGGGCGAAGGCGTTCTGCTTAGGCCGCTGGGCCCTCGGCGGCCCGTACTCGCCGTGCTCCGGCGGCGGGGGCAGCGGCGGTGGGCGGGGAGGGGGAGGGGGCGGCGGTGGCGGTGGAGGGGCCGGCGGGCGTGTGAACGCCGGCGAGAGCCCCGTCGACCTCGATCTGCTGATCGCGGACCCGCCGGGGGGAGACGCAGACGCATGGGCCGACCCGGCGACGCTGCTCGGCGGCGCGGCGGCTTGCTTCCGGAGGGCGGCGTTGGTCCACGCCAACCTCACCGCCGCCGAGCAGCACTACATCGGCGGCTGGTCCAACATCGGGCCAAACAACCTCTTCCGCGCCGTGCTGCTGCACCCGTCCGGCCGCGTGCCCTAGACTTGGAAGAGAAGACTCGGAAGCACGCATTCTCGTCCTCCCAAGTAGCGCTCGAGAGGACACGGGCCACCGCTTGTGCTCGACCGCACTCAAGCTGTCTTCGGCCGTACTCGCACCCGCTGCCCCGAGGCTCGCGTATTCAGCGTGTTAGGCCGCGTGCACGAGGCGTACGACGCGCTGTTTTGGATGGAGGCGGACACACACTCACTCATACACACGCACCCGCCCCGCCCGCACGGCACCCACACACGCGTGGTGCCGAGCGGGCCATCTCGGGTCATCTCGGGTCATCTCGGGTCATCTCGGGTCATCTCGGGTCACCTCGGGTCATCTCGGGTCATCTCGGGTCATCTCGGGTCATCTCGGGCCATCTCGGGTCATCTCGGGTCATCTCGGGTCATCTCGGGTCATCTCGGGTCATCTCGGGTCGTCTCGACACAACAGGCGGACGTGGTGCCAATCGCGCCGCGTTGGCTCGACCGGTTGCTCGAGGAGGCGGGCGCGCGCTCGTACTGGCGCAAGGGGCCGGCGCAGCAGCCGACGCTGCAGCACGACATGGTGTCGACACACCACTACCACATGAACAGCGTCGGCCTCTACCGCCTCGGCCAGCCCTGCTACAGGGCGCTGCTCGCGCGCGTCGCCGCCGAGCACGGCGACGCCCCGCACGACGTCTCCCACCACCTCTTCCTGCACGAGCCGCGCCACTTCCACATCTGGCAGGCGCACGCGCATCGCTTCCTCTACACCGACTTCGTCCAGAACCGGCTCGACGAGTGGTCCCTCGACGACATCGCCGCCGTCTCGCCCGACACCGTGCTCGTCCACGGCAAGACGCCCGACCCGTCCGTCTTCGCGGCCTTCGACGCGCAGCGCGAGCCCGGGGCGGGAGGCGCGTGAAGTCTCGACGAACCTCGATTGGCTCCTCTGGAAGCGCGACTCCTGCCTGGGGTGGCACCCGAGAGCTCAGAGCTCGCCGTCACCGACGACGAGCGCTCGACGCCAAAGTGTTGCCCCTCGCACCGATTGCGAGGGGGGAATCGAGGCACGAGGGGAGTTTCGATCAGAGGTGACTCCAGCGAGTCGCAAACAGCGGTTGCCGCCGCCAGACGTACGCGCATAGAGCATGTGCCTCCGCCAGAGACGTCGCGCATTTGAGCAGTAGCTCCGTACACAGTGGAGCCGTACCGAGTCCGAACTCCTGAGCTAGCTCCCTCTAGTTTATTTACGAGTACGTGTGACGGGGGTAGTTGCACGTCTCTCTCTCTAGTTGCACGAGTATGATGACTGTGGGACAAAGGCGTGTCGAAAATGTCCCAAAAAGCGCGCTCGTAAACTTTTAGCCGTAACGGTTGTCTACGGTAATTAAGACATAAGAGCCGTGTCGATCACGAGCAGCACCACAGAGTAGCTATACAGCCTACAGCCCAGACAGCCAACAGAGTCAGAGTTCAGAGAGCCTCTTTCGTGTGTCCCATGTGAGCAGGGTATAACAAAACTAGCCCCAGAGAGACAGTGTGGATGTATACGTTTTACGTCTTTGTGAAGCCACTTGAGAAGTCATCCGAGCTACAGCGCCGCCGTATTCATGCGCCGTATTCATGTGGGGGTCTCTCCAGCTCGGGCTGTGTCGGAGCATTTGATGTACGTCGCCTCGCCTGCAGCCTCGGAAGAAGGGCGTGTATGAAATCCATATCACCCCCTGCTCCACGACTTGGGCTTTAGGCGGCGAGGGTGGAGCGCTAGGCGGCGGTTTGTTTTCGGGGGAGTCGGGTGGGTCATCGGCGTAGCTAGAGGCCCCATCACTGATGTCGTCGAGTGGGATGGTTGTACCTCCTCCGTTGAAAGGCATGTCGTCGCCCACGGTGCTGCTCTCCCCGTCGTCTGCGCGTCCGTTGGGATAGATTCGTCTTGCCACTCCGGCGCGCCGCAATCCCTCGCGCCGCTCCTGCCGAGGTCGGAGCTTGCTTATCGACGTAGCCGTTCCACTTATGACCACTGTGCCCCTTGACGTGTCTCCATGTCACTTCGTGCCTCGATGCTAATCGTCGCCACGCTGCTCGAAGATAGCTCGCTAGTGGGACAAGTTCGCTTGCCAAAACACGTAAAACTAAAAGCTGCGTAAAAGTCCAAGTCCAAGTGAGACAACGTGACCTCGACGCTCGAGAGACGAGAGCGGCGCAGTCCCCGGGGCAGAGAACGAGTAGTATCAGACAAGCCGCCATATTCAGAGGAACAGAACGTAGCGCGACGTGTCGGCGAGCGACACTGTGCAAGCGCCCCCGCACCACGATGACCCAGCCACGTATGGAAGCGCATGGCCTTCACGGGGGGGGGGGACATTGGGCGAGGTCCCGGTTGCCGTTGCGAGACCTGAACCACACAAACACCCTGGCCCCGCTGCACTAGCGGCGCGGCAGCTGCCATGGTTCTCGCGGTTCGGTACGCGGCATGTTACGAGACACTTGTATCAGTACCTATTTTTTGTACCACGGTGCGACCACGCGCTCACAAGTCACATACTAGCTTCTACCGCGGCCGACGGCGCCCAGGCGCCAGGGCCCAGCTGACTCTGAGACGTCCGACGTGAGAGCCGAGCTGTGTGTGCTGGTGTGTGCAGACGGAGCCACGCTCCACGGAAAGCGCACAGCGGGCAGGAATCTATGCAGGTATTGGCGCGGTGCACGCACTCACAGTGCATCAGTCCGCCGCCGCGCGCTGTGCCCCCTTCCTCAGCTCCGCCACCTGGTCGAGCGCGTCGCCGAGCAGCCCCTTGGCCACGCCAAAGTCGCGCAGCTGCTCCACGCCGCCGCTCGCCCGCACCTCGGCGGCGTGGTCGGCCACGTAGCGGCGGCACTGCGCGAGGAGGCGCCCGTCGCCCGTCGTGTGCGCCGCCTCGAGCAGCGGCACGGCGGTCGCCGGCGCCACGCTCTCCTGCAGCGCCTGCGCGCAGAGCAGCTCGAGGCGCGGCACCTGGTACATCTGCGCCAGCTGCCGCAGGTCGAGCGCGCGCTGCGCTCTGCCGCCCTCAACCTCGCCGAGGTCGAACTTGTCGGAGAGGAGGTAGTCGATGAGGGCGGTGAAGCTGGCGGGGTCGGTGTGGGACACCGTGACCTCGGCGGCGTCGCGCTCCTTCATGCCGATGCCAAACATGGTCCGAAAGACCGGGACCGGGCGCAGAGCATGTTTTTGCTCACGTGCTCGATGCGCTCCTCGTCGTCGCCGACCAGGAAGGTGACTTTCCCCTCTGGGAGGGAGGCGTCGCCCCGCGTCGTTGCGAAGTCGGCTCCAAGGGTCGAAGGCGGAACGACGATCGGGGCAAAGGAGGGAGGCGGAGGAGGTGCCGCCACGCAGACCGGGCGCGGGAGGTCACCGCTCGAACCGACCAACAACGTGCTGCCGTCGGGGCTGATGGCGACATCGACTGGGCCTTCGAACTCCGCCGCGTCGCCCACACCATCAGTGCTGCCCCTGTTGCCACTGCCCGCGAGCGTCGTCACCTCGCCTGTCGCCAACTCCACCCGCCGGATCTTTTGGTTGCCGCCGTCCGCCACAAACAGCGCGCCGCCGCCTGGGCTGATGGCAATGGCAGCTGGTTCGTCGAACTCCGCCGCGTCGCCCACGCCATCCGCGTCGCCACCCTCGCCGCTGCCCGCGAGCGTGGTCACCTCTCCCGTCGCCACCTCCACCCGCCGGATCTTGTGGTTCTCATAGTCCGCCACAAACAGCGCGCCGCCGTCTGGGCTGATGGCGATGCCATTTGGGTAGCAGAACTGCGCCGCGTCGCCCACGCCATCGGCGTCGCCCTCCTCGCCGCTGCTAGCGAGCGCGGTCACCGCGCCAGTCGCCACCTCAACCCGCCGGATCTTCTAGTTGCTGCGGTCTGCGACTTCTTCGGCTGTGGCAACAAAGGCGGGTGCCGGATCACGACGTGCGAGACTGGCCAGTACACCCCGCCCTCCGGGGCATCACCACGTTTAACGCGTGCGCGGAAAGGTGCCTCCGCGATGCCAGCTGCAAGGCGTTCGAGTGGTTCCCTCGACCCCCGGGCTGCTCCCTTCCAGGGCACCGTGCGAGATCCACCGCGACGTCCCCGTGAAAACAGCGGCCGATTGCGGGGAGACCGTTCAGGCCCTTGACCACTGTTGCTGACCCCTGTTGAGCGGCAAGGCCACCAATATAAGACCACCAAGACCACCAAGACATTTGGGATCGGCTAGAAAGCCTCGGCAATGTTCGCGGAGCTGCTTCTCACCTAACATTGCCGAGGCTTTCTCCGCCTTCGAGGAGACCATGAAGCATGATTCGCCACACGCGAAGGACGGAGCGTTCGCGCTTCAACACTAGTTCGTAGTTGGCACGCCTGCCCCCTTCCCCCAGTCGGAACTAGTCCCCCCCCCCCCCCCCTCCCCCCCTTGCTCCCGGCCAGCCGAGCCGCTCAGCGCTCAGCCGCCGTCTCGCGTCTACCACACACACACACACACACATAAACACACCGCTCACCCACGCGCACTGGGCCTTGCACTTTGAATGCCGTGGGGCTTCTGTCGTCAGACGTGGAGACGCGAGGGTTGCCCCCCCTTGCCCCACCACCTCGTGTGTGTGTGGAGAAGGGGGGATGGGCGACGTGGCATAGTGGGAAATGATATACCGTCGCCAACTGCACTCTCTGGGTCGCCAGTTCAACTGCAGAAGTTTACCTTACCTCTGCCAACGAGGCCACTACGGCTCTACGCACTAGCACTACGACCTACGACTCTGTCTCTGAGCGTACACTCCAGGCCACCCTGATGACAGCATGTCAGATGAGCGAGATCGATATGTCATGACAGCCTTTTCGCGGGGACGCGGTGTGTGTTTTTATTACCTGTTTTTCCCCTACCTGCTCATAACCGAATCCAGCTGCGCGCCTAGTCGTCCTCCATCCTCCACCACGCTGCGTCCCCCCTCGCCCTCCGCTAGCCGTCCTGCTTGGCGAGGCTATCGAGCAAGTCCTGCGGGGGGGGGGGGGCGGTCAGTCTCGGCGCGGGGCGCGTCGAGAGGGCGCCTCGGCCGCCGCGCCTGCTGCTCGCGCTTCTTGAGGCCGCTCGAGACGCCGTTGAGGGCCACGAGAGCGGTGCGGTGTCGCACCGAGTACTGCGGGTGCGCGCGCGCCCACGCGAGCAGCTCCTGCGGCGGCAGGTAGAGCGCGCGGAGGTAGTCCTCGACATGCGCCATCGACGGGGCCATCTCGGGCAGCAGCTTGCGCAGCGCCGCCTGCAGCGTCTTGACGTCGAGCGACATCTGGGCGCGGCCCTCGTCGGACGCCTTCTTGACGCCGGCGTACCCGTCCACCAAGTGCTCGCAGATGGCGCCGATCGCCTCGCCGACGAGAGTCCTGTACGCCGGCGATTCGGAGAGTGAGTCCGCAGTCGACTCGCTCGTTCCTTGGGCGGCTCGTCGAGGAGGGTCCTGTACGCCGCCACCGGCACGCCGAGCTGCGACAGGGAGCCCGCCAGCTGCTGCACGTGCTGCACCAGCTGGTCGACGTACGGAGAGTGCTGCGTCCCAATCTCGCGCGGCGCCTGCAGAAAAGAAATACGTTCGGGCAGGAGAAGTACGCGGAGGGTGCTGCGTCCCAGTCTCGCGCGGCGCCCACGAACGGCTTCGGATGGCGGCGACGATCGGCTCGAGGTCGAGCATCCCGCGCGCCTAGACACTTACTAGACACTTCCTAGACACTTCCTAGACACTTCCTCGAGGTCGAGCATCCCGCGCGCCACGCCGCGGTAGATCTGCACCGTGATCGGGCCGACCTGCGCGACGAGGGCTCGTCCTTCACTGGTTGCTCCTTCGCTCCCTGACTACTTGATTCGTGCCCTGACTAGGGTCCGCCTGCTCGACGAGGGCGCGCACGCGCGGCGCGGCGGCGGGAGCGGAGGCCTCTGCGGCGGGGAGCAAGTGGCTGCGGAGCAGCTCGGCGAGCAGTTGGAGCGACTCCATCGCGACGATGGTCTGCGGCAGCGCAAACATCTCCTGCGACTCGAGCGGCGCGCGCAGTCGCTCGAGCGACACCGACGCCTGCAGGAACAGAAACACGTCGGCCGGCGCGTGTTTCCTTTTCTGCAGGCGTCGGTGTGAACTCGAGCGACGCCGCGGCGCGCGCGAGGTCAGCTTGCAGCTCGGCGGCGCTGTCGGTGAGCGGCTCGTGCTGCTCGGCCGCGCCCGCGTGTGTGCTGGTGTGCAGCGCGAGGAGCGCCTGATGGCGTCATCGACTGCTCATTCACGCCTCGCCAACAGTCAACGCGTGCTCGGGTGCAGCGCAAGCAGCGCCTGCCGCAGCGAGGCTGGCATGCCCGGGTCGTGCTCCTACACGCCGAAACACCGCGCCGCTGTGCTTCTCTTGTGGGGCCGGTTGCGGGAGCACGCCCCGGGCCGTGCTCCTCGAAGCCGGCCGAGCCAGGCGGCGGGCCTGCAGACAGACAAACACGTGAGGCCCAAAAGGAAATCGCGGCTGCGCGACGCATGCCGAGGGCGGCGGGCCGGTCCAGAAGACGTTGAACACGGTGAGCACGTAGAGCTGCACGAGGCCGACGAGGCCGCGCGTCGCCTCGACCGCGACGGGCTCAACCTCGCGCACCTAGACGCGGAGTATCTCCCCAGATCTCCCCAGATCTCCCCAGATCTCCCCAGATCTCCCCCAGATCTCGAGGCCTAGAGGAGGCCAGAGGAGTGCAGCAGCGCAGACGTGCACAGAAGTGCAGAGAGAGAGAGAGGCAGAGAGAGAGAGAGAGGCAGAGATGTGCGGGACGGCGAGGGGCCGTCTCGGCCGATCTCGGCTGATCTCGGCGAATCTCGGCGAATCTCGGCCACTCTCGCGCACCAGCCGCAAGTAGCGGCCGACGAAACGCGCGGTGTTGAGCGCGGTCGAGCAGAGCAGCACTCCCTCCCCCTCCCCCTCCCCCGCGGCGGCGCCGTTCCCCTCCCCGCCGCCGCCCTCCCCGCCGCCAGCCGCGCCGTTGTCTCCGCCCTCGCTGACGGACGCGCCTCGCCTCGGCTGCGGCGCCCTGCCCTCGTCGATGCTGTCGAAGAAGTCTGCCGCAGCGGAGTACCCTCCAGCAAAGAGCTCCGCTCCCTCCCCTCCGCGGCCGCCGCCCGCGCCGCTGCCGTTGGCGCGCGTCGCCGCGGCGGGCGGCGGCGAGAGGACAAACATCGCGCGGCACTGCAGCGGCGGCTTTGTGTGCGCCGTGCCGAGCTCGCGCAAGGACGAGAGTCGCCAGCCTAGGAAGTGTCTAGGAAATGTCTAGGAAGTGTCTAGGAAGTGTCTAGGAAGTGTCTAGGAAGTGTCTAGGAAGTGTCTAGGAGGAGTCGCCAGCCTGCCTCGAGCGGCAGCGGCGAGTGAAGGGGTGCACGCACGAGTGTCGACGGACCGACTCCATGCTCTGCGTCCCAACTCTCTATGAGCCGCCCGCCTGTCTCGAGCGGCAGCGGCTGCCACATCTCCGTCTCGAGCCGCATGCGCAGCTCGTCGAGCCGCTCGCGGTGGAAGTGCGCCTACCGCAGAGCAGACACACGGCCTCACGGAAGTGTCTAGGAAGTGTCTAGGAAGTGTCTAGGAAGTGTCTAGGAAGTGTCTAGGAAGCGGCGCGTAGAAGACGCCATATCTCCCCATGTCTCCCCCATCTCTCTCCCCCACATCTCACGTAGAAGACGCGGCTCTTCGCGGCGAGCGCGGCGCGAAGCCCGTGTGACTCGGACGTTGCAAACGCCTCGCCGAGCGACATGAAGGTGTGCGTCCCCTCCGCCACGTCCGCGAGCTCCTCGGGCGAAGCGGCGGCCAGCGGCGCGGCGCCTGGGAGACAGACAGGCAGCGCCGTAACAAGGAGTACGGCCGGCGGGCGACGCGGCGGCCCGCGGCGCCGCGCCGATGAAGACGGCGACACGCCGCTGCATCAGGTCCCAAATGGTGGTGCGAGCCTCGTGCAGCATGCCCCGCATCAGCCGCAGCCGACCCGCCCGCCACTCCGCCGTCTTGGCCGCCGCCGCCGCCTCGGCCACCGCCGCTCGCTCCTCTGGCGCGATCGCCGTGCCGCCCGCCGCCGCCGCCCCGCCGCCGCCCGCCGCCGCCCCGCCCCCGCCCGGCGCGTCATTCCCTTTGGCCGCCGCGGCGCCGTTGGCGGCGGCGGCGCCGTTGGCCACCGCGGGCGGCGGCGGCTTTGCTCGCGCGGCGTCGAGTGCGGCGCGCGCCTAAGGCAAGGGGTAGAGACTTCTCCACACACACACAAGGGTGGCTGACGCAAGGGTGGCTGACGCAAGGGCGGGTCACGCAAGGGCCGTGCGACCCCTCGCGCACACACACGAGGAACACACACGAGGATGGTGGGGCCGAGCTAGCCTCGCGACTCCGCGTCTAGAGGAGAGGAGCTAGCACGGCACTCAAAGTGCGACGCCCGGCGGGTGTGGGTGAGCGGCGCGCGTGTGAGCGTGCGCGCGCGCGCCTCGTCCGCCGCGGCGCGCGCCGCCGCCTCGGCTGCAACCAAGTGGCGCAGCATCCTGTGGTGTGCGTGCAGGACGCGGAGGAGGGCCGCGAAGTTGTGCGCGAGGCACGAGTCGAAGTAGTCCTACTCTCACCACTCTTGCTGCCGCTCGCACTCTTCTTCGACGCCGCGCGCGGCGCATCCTTCGTGTGCAGCCAGCGCGCCTCGCGCAGCTGCCCGCATACGTCCTTGTACTTTCCCAGCTCGAGCGCGCGGAGCTGCGGCCCGCTGACCGCGCCGTCGCCGCCGAGGGAGAGGACGACGTGGCTGTGGAGGACGTCCTTGGTGCAGAGCTTGATCGCCTGCAGACACAGGGCGACGCCTGCCGCAACGACTACCGAAATGCCCGTGCCGCACTGCAGCAGCTCGAGCGCCTCGGCAAAGTTCATGTGCACGCGGTTCACCAGCTCGTCGACGCGGTCGAGGGTCAGCGCGCAGCCGACGGCGGCGGCGTAGCGGCCCGCGTCGTACGAGGCCGACACCCTCCGCAGCTGCAGGTGCATCGCATCCTGCAGCGCGTCCGCCGCGACGGCGACGCGGCCCTCGACGCGCTTTGCTTGCCGCAGCCGGCCTACGTGCTGAATACGCCAACCTCAGGGCGGGAGTACGGTATTGCAGTGTGTTCAGAGCACCGCGTGAATACAACGGAGGCGAAGACAGTGAATGCAGCGGAATACGGCCGAATACGGCGGAATACGTGCCTGGGCGCTAGTTGGGATACATGAATGGTCTTCAGCCTCTAGGGCAGCCGGCCGAGCTGCGAGAGCCGCCTCTCGCAAGAGCGGAGGAGCTCGGCGCAGCGCTGCAGGTCGACCGCGTCGGGCGACGCGGGCGGCGCCGGGGGAGGAGGAGGGGGCGGGGGGGAGGCGGGCCCTTGCCCGTCGGCCGGCGGCGGCGGCGGCGGCGGCTTTGCCACCCCAAGCAGGCGGCAGAGCTCGTCGGATTCTGAGGTGAGGGCTCGCAGCCCGTCAACCATGGAGAGGAGCTCGGCGAGGGCGCGCTGCGGCGGGGGAGGGCGGGGTGCGTGGGAGGGGAGGGCGGCGAGGGGGGGCGGGGCGGCGGCGAGGGGGGGGGGGCGACGGGGGGGGACGGCGAGGGGGGGCGGTGAGGGAGAGAGGACCTTGCGCCGAAGACGTGCGAGAATGTTGAGGCCGGGGTTGACTGTGCCCGTCTCGACACGGCTGAGGTGCTTGCGCGCCGCGCGGCACTGGATCGCCGTGAGCACCAGGTCCGACTTGAGCTGCTGCACCTGCGCCATCCCGTGCACAAATGCGCCGTACGAACGCATCACGCGCGCCGATAACTTCGAGTTGATCTCCTCGAGCACGTCTTGCGTCTGGTCGAGCTGCGCCGCGAGGTAGCTCTCGCCGAGCCCCTCTTCGGGCAGGCACTGCAGCATATGCCCCACCGCATCAAAGTCCTCGAGAGGCAGAAAGTACTCCTGCAGACGGTGGCGGAGCGTGCGGGTCGGCGGGCGAGCGCAGCGAGGCGGGAGGCGGCCCGCGCAATCGACAGTGACACGGCAGCGGGCGAGAGGAATGTGCACACCGGCGGCAGTCCCGCCAGGCGCTCGCTCTCCGGCTGCGGAGGTGAGCTGTGGCTGCTGCTCGACGCCATCGATGTGCACCAACGTTCAGAAGCAAGAAAAAATCCGGGAATTTTTTTTCCTCCCACTCTCCCGCGCCCCTGTCGTCATGCGGGGCGATGATCTCATAGTGGCCGAGATTCCGTGCGGCAGCGGCGGCCACTCATCGGTCACGCTCATCGCTCGCAGCGAGTCGACAAGCGCGCCTCTCGCTATCCTCTCTCCACCAAGTGGCGTCGCAGCGGCGGCGCACGACCGGCTCCTAAAGGAGCTGTGGGCCTCCGTGCCAGACTCGTCCGTATCAGGAGGCCGCGGCGCGCGCTTCCGGCTGCACGCCGACCCGGGCGGCGACGCGTGCGACGGTGACTTCTTCTCGCCCGCGCAACACGAGCGGCTGCTCTCCTTTGTCCGCGAGCGCGTGTTTGACGCGTGGCGCTCGGTGACGCCGGAGCTGCGCTCGTTGGCGGGCTCGTTCGAGCTCTTCAACCCGGCGCTCGGCGCAAACATGGGCTGGCACCAAGATGGCCACGCGGCAGGGGAGCTCGTGGCGCACTACTACCTGGCCGCCGACGACGAGGACATGGCGTGGGCAGAGGTGGCGCTGCCTCCCGCGCCGCCGTCCGAGGGCGAGGCGGAGGCTCCCGGCTTTGACTTCTCCTGCGCCGTCGACTTCGGCTCGAGCGACGAGCTGTCTCGCGGCGTGGCCGCCTCCAACTTCGTCGCGGTCGGCTGCGGCGCAGACACAGCGGCGCAGCCAATCTGCGTCTTTGAGGACTCCGCCGTGCTTCACCGCACCCCGCTCACCGCCGCGGGCAAGCCGCAGCTCCAGTCACGCCGGCCGATGGCGCGCCTCGTCTTTTACGGGACGGACGCCGACGGCGCCACCCTCCGCTTCCCGCCGCCGCATTCCGCGCCGCAGGCGCTCCGCGCGGCGGCGCCCCGCTTGCCGGAAGGGCTGGTGCGCGTGCTCTGCGAATTTGGGATGAAGAAACGAGGGTGGACGGGCAAGAGTCGTGGACCGGCTGCCGAAACGCGCCTGCGTTACGAAGCACTGATGGAGCCTTACGCGGGGCGCTACTTTTCGGAGGCGCTCTGTTCGTATGTGGCGGGAGGGGAGGAGGCCGTGGCGTTTGTGGGCGCCCGGGCGGCGGCGTTGGCGGCAGAGCTGGAGGCGGAGGCGGAGGCGGAGGCGGAGGCGGAGAAGCTTAAGGCGGCGAGGGTGGCGGCAGGCTGGGTATCGTCGTCGGAGGAGGGGGAGGAGGAGGTGGAGGAGGAGGAGAGGGGGGTAGGGGCGTCCGACAGCCTCGCGCAGCTTGCGGGCTACGTGGATCGGCTGGGCGAGGTGTGCCCTTGGACGGCGAGGCAGCGCGCTGCGGACCTGCTCTTCCACACCCGGAAGGAGCTGCTCGAGGTGGAGGGAGATGGCCCGAGACCCGAGATGGCCTGAGATGGCCCGAGATTGCCCGAGATTGCACACGGAGCGAGTGTGCTGCGGACCCGCCTCTTCCCCACCTCTCTCTTCACAGCTCCTTCTCTCTCTTCACAGCGACCTCCTTCCCTCTTCACAGGTGGAGGAGGTGCTGCGGGCGAAAGAGATCGACGAGTCCGCTCTCTGCTCCGAGTGGGGGAGCTAGATGCGGAGAATAAGGTACCCCTGCCACACCCCTACCATGCACTCCAGCTCTCGAGAAGAGACGCGACGTGCCGCCGTGCCCCCCCCCACACAAGAAAGGGAGCCGTGCACAGGCTGGGGGACGTGCTCTTCGACGTGCTGCTCCTCATTCGAGTCGCCGCGAGGGACCTCTCCCCCGCGGCCGTGAGCCTCGAGGCGTGCGCCGCCGCGGCCTGCGCAAAGCTGAGGCGGAGGGCGCCCTACGTTAGCGGAGCAGCAGTCCCCGCGTCGCCCGAGGAGGCGGAGGCGTGGTGGCAGCGCACCAAGGAGGCGGAGAAAGCGGAGGCGGCGAAGGGGGAGGAGCCGCCGCCGCCGCCGCCGCCGCCGCCGCCGCCGCCGCCGCCGCCGCCGCCGCCGCCGCCGCCGCCGCCGCCGCCGCCCACGCCGCCCCGCCCGCGGCCGCCGCTGGCCGGGCCGGAAGCGGCGGCGTTGGCCCGTGTGGCCCCGGCTGCTCTCGCACGACGGGAGACGGAGGTCTCGGCCGAGGGGGGCGAGGGGCCGAAGGCAGCTCCGGCCGTCTCGGGGGCCGCGAGTCCCCTCGACGGCGACGGCGAGTCGGACACCGGCTCGCTGCTCGGGATGAGCGACTGGGAGCGGGACCTCGCCCGGCAGTCCGACTCGGACGAGGAGGACTAGTTGTGTGCAGTCCTTTCCTCCGAGCAGGTAATTAAAAGCTCTTCACACACACGAACTCAAGATGCTAGCAAACGGATGCGGCGGGGGTGGGCGGGCTGGCGTAGCGACCGCGCCCGCCGAGGGGCGGAGAAGCGGGCCGAGGCCGAGGAGGAGGAGAAGGAGTCCGAGAATGACTGGGCACGGGGCAGCTGACCGTTTATTCAGGATTGGCGCCGGCTCCTTTTCCGACACCCTGGGTGGCGGCAGCTGCTCAAACATTGGCGGCGGCGGTTCCGGCGACGGGAGAGAATGTGCCGCGAGGTCCGACTGTGGCGAAGGAACGGGCGTAGTCGGCGACGCCGGCGCAACGGCGGGCGAGGCCACCGCAGAGACAATCTCCTTCGCTTCTCTCGAATCGGTGTCGTCAATCAATGCCTCCAGCTTCAACGTCTCGGCGGCAGAAGCCGCAGATGACTCAATCAGCGCCGCGAGGTGTTCGCGCTGGCTTCCCGCGAGCATCGAGCAGCTGTTGAGCGCTGTCAGAGCGGTGTTTCGATATCGTTCAAAGCTTTCAGTTCGAGAGCGTCGTGTAAAGGGGGAGAATATGTGGAACATGCACAATCCTCAGGGCGAGGCGCGACGTTCAGTCTTGTTCACGACATTTCATGACTAGGGGAGACAGGACGTAGGACGATTGGGATTTCTTAGTGGACACTGAGCCCTCACCCGCTCCCCGCCTCTCCGTCCGCCGCCGCGAGCTCGAGCAGGCGCACCAGCCCGTCCGCGTACTCGTCCGCCGCCGCGTCGCTCCAGATGGGGGTCGGGTAGCTCACCTAATCTCCAGATCACCCGAGATCACCTGAGGTCACCCGAGATCCTCCGGGGTGGGTGTCGGGGCAGCTCACGGTGAGGCAGAGCGTGCCGCCGACCGTCGCGGCGGAGGTGGAGATGGCGGGCGAGGAGACGGACTGCGAGATGCCGAAGTGGAGCCGCTCGAGAGTGAGGTCGCCGTGCGCCGTCGCGTGCGCGAACCTAATGGGCCATCTCGGGTCATCTCGAGTGATCTCCAGCCGGGGGGGGCCGCCGTGTGCGCCGTCGCGTGCGCGCACCGGCCCACGTTCGACACGCCGGCGGAGTAGGCGCGGCCGAGGGTGGTGCGGTCCTGCGACCCGAGCTCGAGATGACCGTCACCCGAGATCACCCGAGATCACCCGAGATCGCCCGAGATCGCCCGAGATCGCCCGAGATCGCCCGAGGTTGCACGAGGTTGCCCGAGGTTGCACGAGGTTGCAAGAGGTTGCAAGAGGGTGCGGTCCTGCGCCCCGAGCTCGACCACGCGGTTCATGTTCATGAACTCCCAACCGCACGAGAAGAGGAGGAGCGACTCGCGGCCCCAGCCTACACATGCACACTCCATAGTATGAATAGCATGTAGTGGACGTTGGAGGAGCGACTCGCGGCCCCCGGCCCTGCTCGATCCAAGCTCGCGTCTGGCGGTGGCACTCCTGCCATACAAGCATCATATAAATACATCAGAGGCAGCGTGTGCAGCGTGTGTCTGGCGGTGGCGCTCCTGCGCCGCGCCCCACATCGCCGTCAGATCTCCGCTCCGCCGCACCGCCTCTCCGGCAGCGGGAGGTAGGTCGAGCAGCAAGTCGAGCGAGCCGGTGCCTAATCTCGCGCAATCTCGGGCAATCTCGGGCGGCAGCGCCTCGAGAGAGTACAAGCCGAGCGGGCAAGAGAGCCTGCGACCACTGTCTCCCCCGACCAATCGTCTCTCGCGCCCGCAGCGCCAGCCTCGCCTGTGGGTGAGGAGGAGGAGGAGGAGGAGGGTGAGAGAGGCGAGCCGCAGAGCCGCACCACCCGCAGCGCCAAGCCCACGCCTGCTCGGAAGGCAAGGCGCCGCATGTCGAGCGCCTGCAGCAGCTTGTACCGCTCCCCCTCCCCCTCCGCCTCCGCCTCCGCCCCCCCCTCCGCCTCCGCCCCCCCCTCCGCCTCCGCCTCCGCCTCCGCACGACGGCCCATCGCGTCGCTCGCGCCCAACACCGCCGCCGCGCAGAGCGCGCCCGACACCGTCACGCCCTGCGCCAGGGCAGGTAGGGTAAGGGAAGGGAAGGTAGGGTAAGGTAGGGTAGGGTGAGGTAGGGTATGGTGAGGTAGGGTGAGGTAAGGTAAACGTCTCCACACACACGAGGTGGTGGGGCAAGGGCCAGGCTAGTCCCTCGCGTCTCCACGCCCGGACACGCGGGCAGGAGCTGGCCCCGGCATTCAAAGTGCAAAAGGCCCAGTGCGCGTGGGTGAGCAGACCTGCGCGCGGCACGCCGCGACGAGGCTGGTCAGGGTCGCGGCGTCGACGGTCCGGAACGTGCTCCTCGTCCGCCTCGCCCTCGCCTCCCACGCCGCCGCCCTCCCCCCCTCCTCCAGCTCCGCCGCAGCCGGCGCCCAGCGAGGCAACACCCTCGCGCCCGACGCCGCCGCCTGCCACACGCCCGTCTCGGAGTGCTGTCTGATTACGGAGTGGGTAGTACTACCAGCCACTAGTCACGAGGCGAGGAGAGAGAGAGAGAAGAGAGAGAGAGGGAACGAGCGAGAGAGAGAGAGAGAGAGAGAGAGAGAGAGAGAGAGAGAGAGAGAGAGAGAGAGAGAGAGAGAGAGAGAGAGAGAGAGAGAGAGAGAGAGAGAGAGAGAGAGAGAGAGAGAGAGAGAGAGCGCCGCCGCCTGCCAGAGCGCATACTTGGCCGTCGAAACGCCCACACGGCCAGCCTCCCACGCGGGCAGAGTCCGCGGCGCCTATCACTCAGGAGACCCAGCACGAGTCACAACGACTCAGAGCCACCACCGTGCCGCCTCTGCCTCTGCGGGGGTGCGAGACACCCACGAGGGGAGGGACTCGAACGGCAGCCGGGCGCCGTCGACGAACCGCCCAACGATGAGCTCGAGCCGAGACTTGATCTCCTATTCTCGTGGATGAGTCGACGGGGTCGCGATTCGCCGCCCGACGGGGAGCTACAGCCGAGACTTGATCTCCTCGTTCTGCCGCTGTTCTGTGCCGAGAAGGGCCCCCTCAACGGACTGCGGTAGCGGCAGGCTGGACGGCGGCGGAAGCGGCGCGCCAGCTCGCGACGCGGCGATCGCCTGTGGCAGCTCGAGCGAAGTGAGGAGTCCATGACCTACCAGCGCCGGCAGGCGAGGCGGCGGCGAGCTGTGGTGCGCCATTTGTGTCATGGCATCTGGCAGGCGAGGCGGCGGCGAGCTGTGGTGCGCCATTTGTGTCATGGCATCTGGCAGGCGAGGCGGCGGCGAGCTGTGGTGTGTCGGCGACGCCTCAGCTCACGCCTCGGCTCTATCTCGGCCCAGATCTGGGCTCAAATCAGGTCTCGGCTCGATCTCGGCTCGATCTCGGGCCTCGAGCAGCTCGGCGAGGAGGAGGTTGAAGGAGAGCTGGTCCGAGATTGCGTGGTTCGCCTGGTAGAGCAGCGCCGCCGAGGAGGAGGAGGCGTAGAGGGTGAAGCGGCAGAGTGGGCCGTCGCCGTCCTCGTCAAAGACCGACTCGTCCATCGCCGCGTCGAAGCCTCCGCGCCACGCCTCCTCGAGCGCCGTTCCGCTCCTCTCTGCCACGCTGGCCACGCGCAGCGCGCGGCGCGCCATCTCCTCCGGAGGCAGCGGCGAGGGCTCGAAGCGCTGCAGGTCGGTGTTTGGCTCGGGCCGGTAGAGCTCGGCGCCGTAGTGAAAGGCGCGGTCGATGTAGTTGGAGTGCATCGGGTACGGCGCCGCGTCCGGGATGTGGTGGTTGGACTTGCCGCGCACGCACGATCGCAGCAGCGGGTGGCGCCGGAAGACGCGAGCGAGGCCGTGGAGCAGCTCGGCCTCGGTGGGCGGCGGTCCGCGGAGGAGCGCCACGCTTACGTGCGCCGTCGTCATCGCACCGCTCCACGAGCGCCGCCCGTTCAGCAGCCGCTCCATGCAGCCGAGCGGTCGGCTGACCTCGTCGCCCTCCCACCGCTCGCCCTGCCAGCCGCCACGCGCATCATCCTCGTGCGCCGCCAGCGCGCAGAACGACGAGCGGGCCGAGCGGGAGCGGCCGGCGTGCACGGCGGCGGGCGGCGATCTTACGAGCGCGAGAGAAGCAGCGACCCAGGCCGCGGCCATGAAGAGTAAATTAAAAGCTCATGTGGTTGGAGAAGGGGAATTGGGTCTGTGTGTGTGTGTGTGTGTGTCACACTCACTCACTCACACAATTGGTCGTGCACAAATTCAACCTCCCATACGTTTGTCTCCTCCTTTCCTCGGGCTGTTCCATCTCCCCATCTCCTTCCAACCTAGGCGGGGCGGGGGGGCGCGCGGGCGCGGAGTGCGGTGCGGTGTGGGTGTGTGCGTGTCGTGCGGCTACAGCAGATGACCGTCGGTGTCCGTCTGTATTATTATTAACAACGAAGGCGCTCTCAAGAAACAAATCACACCGCTGCGCATTCATCACATATGGGGGACAGAACGCCGGCCGCACCCGGCGTGCTAGCTATCTCCGCTTCAACCGGCGCAACATGCACTCTTGATGAGCAAGTTGACGGTGGTATTGACTTCGTCGTGCGTCCCTGCGTCCGCGCGTCAAGGCTGGCGGCTACATGCCCTCCTCCCCTCAGCCTCGGCGGCGGGCCCGAACGGCGGGAGATAATGCGAGCGCTGCCACGCAGCCCGCCGTGCACCGCGCCCACAGCACGCCCGAGCTTCGCAGCGCTGGCCGGCTGATTCAGGTCACCACCATTGCGAGCGAGGAGGACGCCGCGGGCGCGAAGCTTGGCTTCCTGCCGCGCGTGAGCATTCGGCTGGACCGGCACGCGGGCGGTGCTGACGTTTCGGCGAGCCACGGTGGCGACGCGGCGCGCCGCTCCGTCAGCCTGGTCGTGAAGCGCAGGCCGCGGCCAGGCAAGGTGGTACAACGGACGTCGCCCGCGGGGAAAAGTTGGGGGGGGGGGGGGGGGGGCGAGGCAGCGTATATGAACAGGAATGGTGACGGACAGTTTTCGACCGCGCCAAAAGTAGTGGACAAAGGGGCGAGGCTTCCGAGTGCCTTGTCCCATGCCACACGCATGTCTCTCGCTGTCGGGACGGGCACATTCTTGTTGCTCCGACGTAGCACCTCGGCGTGTGGGCCGTTGTACTCTCGCCCGATGCAGAAAATGTGCCCCTCCGTCATCGGCAGAGGCTCGAACCCGAAAGCGACAAGTCGCTGCTGTATCGCCTGACAGGCGCATCTCTGCGGCCTTTTCGGGTCGCTGACATTGGAGAGTCTCTCGACGACATTTTTCTGCCGCACCGTCACTATCTTGATCCTTTGGCAGTGCCACTCAATGATGTGTTCCGGCCAAGGTTGCCGCCTCACTAGCTCATCGAGGTAGGCTCGAAGCGGGCGAGCGTCTACTCCTGGTACGAAAGGTAACCTCACCTCAATCAGATCCCGTGTGAGACCCGCATACCTGGTCTCGTACTCTGTCCAGAGCATACGTCTCATACGCAGCCATGTAGATTTGTCGCTGTAATTCCTCCTTTTCCATAAAAAGCCCATTTCTTCTTCTGTCCCGTCGCAAAGTTCTTTACGGACGTCCGCGAAGAAGTCCTGCGCCGACGCGTCCTCAGCTCTCACATGCCAAGCGCTGCTCGCGAGCAGGAAAGCTGCGCTGCTCACACGCTCCGGTTCAGCCGCCATGTGTCTCGCAATAACGGTGAAGCTTCCATCATCGTTTCCAGAACGTATCGCCTCCAGTCCGTCACGAAAGCTCATCGCACAATCATTGTGCGTAGCGATGCTCCAGTGAGCGTACCTTTCCTGAAGGTATCTCCAGCTGGACACGTGCATGCCTCCACGACGATAGCTGACTGTGAAGCTAAAGCTCTCGCCCTCAACGTTATCCTCTGCCTCTCGCAGGATGGTGCCAAGGTTGAAGCATCTGCGTGTCTCGCCTTCCCGCCAAAAGGTGGCAAAACCCCGCCGCCTCCTCGTCTCCCCTTGTCCCTCACGATCACCGCCCCGCAACCGTAGGTGCATCTGGAGCGGATCTCTCCACGGTGGGATGCCTGGTCTCTTCCGGGTCCTCTCCGCCCGGTTCATCTTTTTCATCTCTTCTCTGTATGTGGGCTGGCTCTTCCAGAACCTAGTTCCTCGCTCTTCCATGTTGAGCTTTGGTCGCAGTGTGCGGATCAGTCTCCTCTCCACTCGCTGCGCCTCCCGTTTGCTCGCGCACACAACAAGCGGCGTAAAAATTGCCACACCGACGGCACCGCTCGAGCAAAGCCCCAACACCTCGGCCGGGTCGTCGTCGGCGCGCGGGCCGCCGAAGGACGCCGCCCAAGCTGGCGGGCGCCGCGAGAGAGCCGTCCGCTGGCGGTCGCCGTGCGACACACCGCCCTCTCTGACGTAGCCGCCGCGTCTCGACTCGGTGATGGCGCCCGCCGCGACCCCGCCCGCCACGCTGCTCGCCGACATCGCCTCGCTGCGCGCCCACCTCTCCGGCCGGCGGACGCGCGGCAGTCTTGACGCGCGGCACGGCACCGAGAGGCAGGACACGCTGCTGACTTGGGCGGCTCGGCACGGGCAGGCCGAGGCGGTGCGGCTGCTGCTTGGGGCCGGCGCGAGCGTCGGGGCGACGACGGGCGGCGGCGGTGGTAGCAGCGGCGGCGCGTCGGCGCTGCTCATTGCGTGCTCGGAAGGCCACCTCGAGTGCGCCCAAGTGCTTCAGCAGGCTGGCGCGGCGGTCAACCAAGCCGAGGCCAGAGGCGCCACGCCACTGTACACGGCGTGCCAGAAGGGCCACGTCGAGTGCGTCCGGCTGCTCCTCGAGGCCAGCGCGGCGGTCAATCAAGCCGCGGAGGACGGCGCCACGCCGCTGCTCATGGCGTGCTTCCAGGGCCACCTCGATATCGCCCAGCTGCTGCGCGACGCCGGCGCTTCGGTCGACCAGGCCATGAATGACGGCCGCACGCCGCTGCTCATGGCGTGCTGGCAGGGCCACCTCGATATCGTTCGACTGCTGCGCGACGCCGGCGCTTCGGTCGACCAAGCCCATGACGATGGCGTCACGCCGCTGATAATGGCGTGCCGGATGGGCCACGTCGAGATCGCCCAGCTGCTCCTCGAGGCTGGCGCGGCGGCCAACCAAGCCCGCAACAACGGCGTCACGCCGCTGCTCGCCGCGTGCCAGGAGGGCCGCCTCGAGTGCGCCCGGCTGCTCCTCGAGGCCAGCGCGGCGATCGACCAAGCCGACGAGCAAGGCATCACGCCGCTGATCATTGCGTGCCGGCAGGGCCACCTCGAGGTCGCCCGGCTGCTCCTCGAGACCGGCGCGGCGGTCGGCCAAGCCACGGAGGACGGCTCCACGCCGCTGCTCGCCGCGTGCCAGGAGGGCCGCCTCGAGACCGCCCGGCTGCTCCTCGAGGCCGGCGCGGCAGTCTGCCAAGCCCGCAACAACGGCGTCACGCCGCTGCTCATGGCGTGCCACAACGGCCACCTCGAGGTCGCCAAGCTCCTCTCCTCCTACGGCGCCTCCCGCGCCGTCGTGCCGCCCGTCGGCACGCCTGAGGAGGTTGCAACCGAAGAAGGCCACGCCGACCTCGCCGCCTGGCTGGTCGCCAGCCGCGGCTGGATGCCGCTCGCGCACCTTGAGACCCTCACCGCCGCCCGCGTTCTCTCCCTGCTGCGCAGCGGCGCAAGCCTGCACGAGGGCGGGCCGACGCCGCTGCAGCGCGCCGCGGGCGGCGAGGGCGAGGCGGCGGCGCTGATCCGGCGGGCGGCGGCGCCGTGGTCGCCGGCAAGCCACTCGCTCTTCCCCGCGGCGGCCCGCGCGCGGGCGGCGCTCCTCGTCCTCTCGCTCTACGAGATCCACGAGCGGCAGCATCTCGACTCGGCAGGAAACACGAACGGCATCGCGGCGCGCGACTTTGTCGCGTGCGTGCTGCGTTTCGCGGTCACGCGCGAGACGCAGTAGGGAGGAAGGAAGCACAGATTGCCACGTGCACGTCACTCAGACCGCCTCTCGGCGGCGCGCTTGAGCACGTTGCGGCACCCTCGTTCTCGCTCGGGACGCGAGCGCGCGCCTCGAGGCTTTGATTCACTTACGTCCCTCACCCGCCAAGGCAGGTGCATATCTGCTAGTCCTAGATCCTAGTGTGTGCTCACACACCACTAGCACTGATCGTCGCAGTTTCTTTTTTGCAGTCGCGCCAGCGGTAGGTCCGAATTCTTTAGTGCCAGTGCGCGACCACTCCTCGGCACAGCTGGTAAAATTATTTTTTCTTTTCACTCGCACCTCACTCTCAGGCTCACGCTCCTCAGGCTGCACGCCCAGGCGCGTGTCAAGCTCCTGCCTCTGTCCGAGTATGGTGTATGCACTGGTTGGGTAGTAGTCTAAGTTCTGAGCCTCGAGGCTTAGCGGGTCTAAGTGTGCTCTGGCACGCTGGGTGCTTGCGCGGTCTAAGATCAGCGGGAGCCTCTTACATCGGCTAAGTCGGCCGTGGCACGGCCTGGGGCCAGGAGGCTCCCACCGTGATCAACGATACGGCGCAGCCCCCACATTTTCTTCGCCTGCGGCGGGCGATCGATCCTCTTCATGCTTAGCAATCGCCGCTTCAGCATCCTCCTCTTCCGATTTTCGTTGCTGCTCCTTCATTCTTGAGCGACGTCTAGCCAAACAGTTCTCACATGACACGAAGCTCCTCAAGCTTAATCAAATGCGTGACGGTGAAGGCGTGAAGCCTGTGTGTGCTGGTCCTCTTTGAACGATCCGCGCGTGAGGTAGCATAGGGCCTTGTTGGCAGCAGCCAGCTTGTTGCGCTGCTTCGTTGCGATGAGCTGATTGGGATCGCAGAAGTGCATGCCAAGCACCGCCACGGTCTTGAAGCAGAACACATCGCAACCGCATCGTCCGCACTGCCATCGGCATGCCGCGCCCGCCGCTTCGCCGCAGCCGCCTTAAGGCACGCATAGCGGCAGGCCATGGTACGGTGCGCGTACTTGAGCAGGCGTTGCGCGCCGTGAGTAGCGCACTGGCCCTGGGAGAGGGCGATATGGCGTCGTGCGCGGCATACGTTGGTCGGGACGCGGGTAAACCTGGACTTTTGCAGGTATACCCGGGTTTTACCTGAGTTGGCCTTGTGTCGTCTAAATCGCGATTTTTTTCGAGCTCAGACGGCAGCGAGCGACTTTTGCCTGTAGACGTAACTCGGCCTCTGGCCGCCGACAGCGCCTAACTCGGGGTCTGGGGCGGAGCCCCAGCCTGGGCGCTGGGGTCTGGGGCTGGCAGCCCCAGCGGGGTGCGGGGCAGAGCCCCGCGAAGAAAATTTTGCATTTTTAGCGCCAAAACCCGACCAAAAATAGGCTGTGAGCTGCTGCCCAAGAGCCCCCAAACAAGAGCGCAATGTATACAAATCTCGTACAATAGTACACACACACACACACACACACACACACACACGATTCATACTCATGCAGTGGTGTGTACAGATCACTTCCGTCGCTGACGCTTCGACATGGCCGCTGGCTTGGCTGCTGGCTTGCGCTGTGCGGACCCCTTGGCTGCCGGCTTGGCCCCCCGCCCTGCCCGCGCCGGTGCTGGCGCATGCAATGATGGGCCATCGTCATCCCTGCTGTCTGGCGGGCGCGTCGGCAGTGCTCGAGGCGGTGCAGCCTTACGCTTCCCTGCACGCTGCACGCTGCGCGGGTGCAGGTGCGGGTGCGGGGGCGGGGGCGGGTGCGGGCGCCTCGCCGTCGCTCTCGTCCTCGTCCTCGTCCTCGGACTCGTCGCACGAGGTGTCCTCCATGTAGCCCGCACGCTCCTCCTGGGGCGTGGGGAGGGTGAGGGTCCGGTCGGATGCGGAGAGCAGGGCGGGAGAGGGTGAGGCGTACCAAAGAGGGCCGCCGTTGAGCGCGATGTCGGGCGTTTGCAGCACCTCGAGCCAAAACTCAAAGTTGCGGCCGCCGAGAGCGCCCCGCGTCACCGAGCGTCGTGCTCGAAAGCCGAGCCGCAGCTGCAGCTCTTCCGACCGGTCGCCGCCCGGCTGCGCGATGAGCCACCGCGGGTCGTAGCGCCTGCTCCTCCTGCTCGTGATCTGATGAATGCTCGGCATCGCTCAGCGCTTGCTCCATCGGGACGTCAGCCTCTGCCGCCGCCGCGGCAGCCTCGGGCTGCGGACGGGTCCGCAGCTCCGCCGACCTCCTCGGTGGGAGGGTCGGCAGCGGGCGGGTCGGCGGCGCCGTCGGCAGCGGCGTCCACTGGAGCACCGCCCGTGCGCACACCAAAGTGGGTTAGGAAGGCGTTCTTGGCGGCACGTATCCACCCCTTCGGCTTGGGGCCGCCTGCACCGCGTCCATGGAGCATTGGCAATGCCGCGCTGCGCCTACGAATGTTTCGGGAACGCCGCCCATGGGAACGGCGCTCTCGGCAGAGCTTTCGTGGCGGGGAGACGGGTGCAGGGAGGTGCAGGGAGCGCTCTCCCGGCTCACCGGGAGGGGAGATGGCGATTTTTTTTACATGGGTCGGGAGGGCAGCTCACGGCGGTCACGCTGTGCGCACCTTGAGTCGCGAGGGCGATGCCGCGACGGTTACCCGACGTCGGACGGACGTGCCACAGTGGTACCAGGGTGCAGGCATGAATGGGTCTGACCTCGAAAAAAATCGCGATCTAAGTTCATGGCCCCCGACCATACAGCGTCTAAGTCTGAGCCCGGCTCCGTGCGGGGGCTAAGTTGAGCGCTCGCTCGCTGCAGAGGCTAAGTGTAGAGCGACCCTCTAGCCCTACTACCCAACCATTGTGTATGCCGAGGCCGGCGCAGATCGCGCCACCCGGCCACAGCCTGCAGCACAGCCTGCTCGACGAGGGCGCGTGGGAGGAGCGCGTGGCGCGCGACCTCGTCCCGGACCAGCGCGGCCTCATCGTCGCGGTCGACCACTTCCTGTCACCCTGGGTGGCTCTCTCGCTCGCGTTCCGTTCGCGTGCCGGCTGGTCCCCAGTTCGAATCGGTGGGGGGAGGGGGGGGGCCTCCTCGGCCTCCTCGGCCTCCTCGGCCTTCTCGACATTCTCGACATTCTCGACTGCTTGACGCACGCGACGCGCGCGGCACCGGTCGTTTTGCTCGCCGGGCGGCCCACACGCCGCCCCGTCTCGCGCTTCCTCGCGTGCTCGGGCCCCGGCGGGCAGCACCTCGTCTGGTGCTCTGCTAGTCGCTAAATGTGCTGCTGTTTGGCGCATTGTGTCAGGGCTACTAGGGGTGGCACGCGGAGCTGCGGTATCCACCCGTCTCAGCTCGCTGCCGATCTCTACTACCCCCCGCGTGGCGTGCACGGGGGGCGTCGGGTATCCCGTGTGTCCGGCGGGCGGGGCGCGCACCATGCTGCTTGAGGGTGACCGTCGGGCGCTCCGGGCAGGCCCATATTCAGTCCTGTGCCCAGTGTCGTGCGAGGGAGGCGTCACGAAAATTCTTTTTTTCGAGAGTTGGTTTGTGTAAATTCTTTTTTTCGAAGCCCAGCGGGGAGGTGCACCCTGTGCGAGGTAGTGTGACAAGCTTCGCGGGCACCTCGCACGACGGGGGCGGGGGTGACGGTGGCGGCGGGCTCGGTGGCGGCGGCGAGGGCGGCGGCGGTGAGGGGGCGGAGGGGGAGAGGGCGGAGGGGGAGAGGGCGGGGGAGGGCTCGGCGGTGGCGGAGACGGGGGTGGTGGCGAGGGCGGCGGAGGCTCTGCCGAGAGGGTCATCGCCGGCTTAGGCGGAGCGGCGGGCCCTTCGAGCTTCGTTACAGAGACAACAAAGACATTTCACCCCTCGGGCTGTTGTTGCAGACAGAAAAACAAATGGGGGCGCGTGCGCGCAAGGTCGCGGATCTCAATTCTTGTTCTGTAGGTTTGCTGGGAAGATTCTTTTTCTCGCGACAGTTCGCACCTGTGTCGAGCCTGTGTGCTGTGAGAGAGAGTTGTTTTGTTTAAATTCTTTTTCTCGCGATGTCCCGCGCCGCCGCTCGCGCCGCCTCGCCTCCGGTTCCACCGCCGCGCCCTCGCCAGACACGCCGCCGCCCACCCGCCTCCTCGACCTCCCCACGGACCTCCTCGTGCGCGCCATCTCTCGCTGCGACCCCGCCGACATCGCTCGTGTCGCGGCCGTCTCGCTGCTCTTCCACGCCTCGCTTGCGCTGGAGGGCATCCGCCTGTGGGCGCAAGAGCGCGGCTTCGAGCTGCCGGCGCAGCCAGAGGGCGAGAACTGCACTGTGCGGTGGCTGTGCTATTCTGCGCTGCTGCGCGAGTCCAACCCGCCGGCGAGCGCGGCTGCAGGCAATCGGCACAGCCTCTTCATCGACGGCGAGGGGCGGCTCTCGTCGTGCGGAACGGCTGAGAGCTGGCTGCCGGGACTGCTCGGGCACGGCGATGGCGTGACGCAGCTCAACACGCCGACACGCCTCCCTTCCCCGCTGGACGGCGAGCGCGTCGTGAGCGTGACGGCTGGAGATGGTCACAGCCTAGCCCTCGCCGCCAACGGCAGCGTCTGGAGCTGGGGCGGTGGAGGTGCTGGCCAGCTGGGCCACGGCGACGAGCAGAACCAGTTGCTGCCCAAGAAGGTCGAGGTGTTGGCTGGCCTGCGCATCGTCGCTGTGTCGGCTGCAGGCGGGCACAGCCTCGCCATCACCGCCGACGGAGCCGTCTGGAGCTGGGGCTATGGAGGCGGCGGCCGCTTGGGCCACGGCGACCAGCAGCCGCAGCTACTGCCAAAGAAGGTCGAGGCCTTTGCTGGGCGGCGCGTCGTCGCTGTCTCGGCTGGATACGCACACAGCATCGCCCTCACCGCCGATGGAGAGGTCTGGAGCTGGGGCGGTGGAAGTTTTGGCATGCTGGGCCACGGCGACGAGCAGCGCCAGCAGCTGCCGAAGAAGATCGAGGCCTTCGCTGGTCGGCGTGTCGTGGCTGCGACGGCTGGGTCGTACCACAGCCTCGCCCTCACCGCCGACGGCGCTGTCTGGAGCTGGGGCTGCGGAGGCTTGGGCCGGTTGGGCCACGGCGACCAGCAGCACCAGCTGCTGCCCAAGAAGGTCGAGGCGTTGGCTGGCCTGCGCGTCGTCGCTGTCTCGGTGGGAGGGGGGCACAGCCTCGCCATTACTGCTGACGGCGCCGTCTGGAGCTGGGGCCGTGGAGGCGACGGCAGGCTGGGCCACGGCAACGAGCAGCGCCAGCTGCTGCCGAAGAAGGTCGCGGCCTTGGCTGGGCAGCGCGTCGTCGCTGTCTCTGCCGGAGTCTACCACAGCATCGCCCGCACCGCCGACGGCGCCGTCTTAACCTGGGGCGGGGGCGGCGACGGCTGCCTAGGCCACGGAGAGGTCCTGTCGAACCAGCTGCTGCCCAAGAAGGTCGGGGCGTGGGCGCCGGGGCAGTGATGAGAAGGGCGGTAGGGTGCAAGTGACGTCAGTGATGCCCCCTTCTCCGACTGCCCCGTGCTATGCGCCGAGCCCCGCGGCTTGCCACGCGCCCTCCTGCCCCCGTCCGTTGCTGGTCTCGGTCGGAATGGAGGCTGAGAGATAGAGAGAGAGAGAGAGAGAGAGAGAGCGTAGAGAGAGCACGTCCACGTAAAGCCGTACCACGACCACGTGAGCGGTGAGCAGTGTTGTCGTAAAATTCTTTTTGAGCTAGCCTTCGATGTTAGGAAACAAAGCAAGGCGGACATGGCATATCGCTCTCGGGCCCACAGACATCACACTAGTGAGGCGGGGGGGTCGCCCCGGTGCCCCCCGCGCGCTGGCCGTGCCAACGGTCCGGCGCTGGGGTCCGCTGGGCCGCCTCAGAGCAACGAAACTATTTTTTCCTGCATCCTGGAACGGCTGACCGAGAATTGGCTGATTGAATTTGAGCAGCCTCGCTCTCAATCCCACAGTCGCGAAAAGGATTTTGAGCAGTACTCCTCGCAATCGCAACGCACGTCCGTGGCGCGTGGGAGTGTGGCCGTGGGCGTGTGGTAGCGCTCGCAATCTCCTCCCAAAGTGCAAAGATGCAACGATTGCTACCTGCACAGATGGAGCTCCCACAATCGCTCCAGTCGCGAGCGCTTGTGAGCGCGCCGGGAGGGTCTCCTCAACACACGGAGCGCCCCCTCCCGCTCTAGCCTCTGGCTGGCGCCCTGCACACCCAAGCTTGCGCATCATCATCCGCGGCCTCTACAGCAACGAGGCAGCACGTGGCGCGCTCCGTGCCGTCGCCATCGGCGCCACCTCCTCCCAGACGTTTGTAAACGGGTCGAATCGCTCTACCGTGTTGACTGGCACGCCGAAGTTCTCGTCGTCTTCGTCAATCTCGCCGCCCACGGCGTACAGCTTGCCGTCGAGCACCGCCAAGCTGACAAGAGCCCGCGACGCCGCAAGCGGCGCCACCGCGCTCCACGCATTCGTTGTCGGGTCGTACCGCTCGACTGAGCTGAGGTAGCCGTCGTCGTCGTTGAAGCCTCCCACCGCGTACAGCTTGCCGTCGAGCGCCGCCGTGGCGTGATAAGCCCGCGCCGCCGCCATCGGCGCCACCGCCTCCCACGCATCCAACGCCGGGTCGTACCGCTCCACTGAGCTGAGGCTGTCACCGTCGTACCCGCCGACAGCATACAGCTTGCCGTCGAGCACCGCCAGAGCGTTCCAACGACGTGCCGACGCCATCGGTGCCACCGCCTCCCACGCGTTCGTCGCCGGATCGTACCGCTCGACCGAGCTGAGGCGGCCGACGCCGTCGCTGTAGCCGCCAGCAGCATAGACCTTGCCGTCGAGAACCGTCACGGCGTGACTCTCGCGTGGTGTCGCCATTGGCGCCACCTCCTCCCACGATTTCGTTTCAAAGTCGTACCGCTCCACCAAGCTGGAAGTTGCGCCGTCGTCCTCACTCTCGCCGCCCGCCGCGTAGAGCTTGTTATCGAGCACCGCCCTGCCGACATAGCTTCGTGCCGCTGGCATCGGCGCCACAGCCTCCTCCTCCCACTCATTCGTTGACGGGTCGTACCGCTCCAGCGAGTTGAGGAACTCGTGGCCGCCGTCGTGGCCGCCGATCACGAGCAGGCGCGCCCTCTCGCGCTTCTTCAGCGTCTCCTTCCAGCCGCGGCGCCACGCGCGGCACGTCCCCTTGACGGCGTGCTCCTTGGTCGGCAGCTGGGCGAGGATGTGCGGGGCGAGGTCCGGCGAGAGGAGGACCTCTGAGAGCACCCACTCGGGCTGCTCCACGAGCCGTGCGGCGTGCTCCTCCGCCACGCGCAGCGCGGCGTCGCTCGCGCCCGCCTGCGCCTCGATGATGGCGCACAGCTGCGCTGGCGAGAGGCCCGCGACGCGGGCGCCGATGCGGTGGGAGGCCATCAAAAAACGGGCTTCCTGCTGAGCGGTAATATTAACGTCATCTTGTACCCAGGTACTAAGGGCGTCTACGCCCTTACAGGTACCGACTTCGCGGTCATATCATGTATGAGCGTCATCTTGTAGTGAACAGGCCGACTTCGCGGTTTGAGCGCCCAGCGCAGACCGACCGACCGCAGGGGGGTCCGGTCGGCGGCCGCGGAATACCGCAGACCGGAGAGAGACTTTGTTTGTCGCATTCATGCCCCTGAACCAGGCGTACGAGCATTCCGGCGTTGTGCAATGCGAAGGCTTGTTTGTTTTTTCAGTTCTGTTATCGCCATTCGCGGTAAGGAAGAAGGACGGGACATAGGACAGGACATCGTCAGACAGGTAGTGTTGCAAATCGTCGCCGCCGTGAGAGAAGACCGTAGCCTTGATGTCGACACTGAGGGTGTTATTTGCGTCTTCAACAAATCTCGGCAGGTGGTGCGCTCCTGCGGAGTGCCCCATTGCACCGACACGATCCCAGTCAGCCACCGCCTTCAACGCATGAGGGTGCGCTCTGGCCCACTGCACGGCGATGAGCAGGTCGTCGTCCCGCTTGCACGTAGGATTGGTGGTCTTTTCGGTGACGGGCGCAATGACGATCAGGCATTGCTTCGCAACGCTCTCCATCCACTTATCATACCCCTTGGTGTAGCCTCTAGAGCCACGGTGAAACATGACCACCGGGTACTTTTTGGCAGCGGCCCCGTCGGTATTTGGCAGCGGCCCCGTTGGGTAGAAGATCTTCGTCCTGGTCGATGTATCGCCGCAGTACGGAACGTCGTCGGGTAAAGTTTCGTGTTGGATGCTGCACGGTGTATGAAGAGGAGGAGGCGATGCCGTTCGGCTTGAGGTAGATCTGGTCGATCATCCAGAGCCAAAACTCATGCGGGTCGCAGCAGCAGGTCCACGCGAACGAGGCACTCAGCGTCCAGGAGCGCAGCTTGGTGTAGTCCCCGATGGATATCCACGTCGACGCGCCGAGGCGGCCCCACGGCATAATCTCGAGCTCTGCCCGCCCCTCCTTGCTGCTGTAGTCGGGCAGCGCACTGGCTGGCGTCGGGAGGCGCGAGGTTGTGAGCACCTCGTCCAGCGGGTCGGAGGAGTAGGCGAGGTGCGCCACCGTCCAGCCCGAGCCGCTCACGCCAGAGATATGAGTCGCCTCCGAAAGGAGGCCGAGATGGTGCATTGCACGCATGAAGCCCCAAGAACCCGCGTGCGCCCTGGCGCCTCCGCCGTTGAGGGCGATGCCCAGACTGGGGCGAGGCGGCTCGTCGTCCCGCTCGATTCTGCTGGTGGTGGGCGCGCGCCCCGGCCGGGAGAAAGGGGAGTGACAGTTTGGGACGGCGACAGACGAGTCCTCGCACTCCATGTTAGAGGGCTTCGTGGCAGCCTTCCGAGAAACACATCTAGCAATGAACAAGCTCAACATACACACTCACACTCACTCAACACAGTGTACAACGGGCCGTAGTAAACACCATCTATTAAACACCCTCTTCTATCAGTTCTCACAGTGATCGATCGAGTGGGTGGGGGGGGATCGATCGGCTGAGCAGAGTGTGACACTTCCCACAGGTGTGTCCACCAAGCCGCCATCGATCGCGGGAGAACAGCGCATGGTGTGATCTGGCGCGGCTTTAGACCCACGTGGTTGACGTTTGGCAGAAGCCCCTGTCGCCGTTCTTGCCGAGGACAAAGTCGAAGTTGGAGAGAAGCGTCTTGTCCATCATCCGCTTCTCGTTCTGAGCTTGGACTTCAGCCCAACGGTGCTCGAGGGCGCTTGCCATGTCAATGAGCTGCGTCTTGTACTCATACGTCCGGGGGTCCCCCGAGCGTTGGACGTTGGGCAACTCTGCGACCTTCCGCAGCTCAGCTGTCACGCTAGTGGTGTCGGCGTCGTCGTTCTCGTCGGTCCCATCGCGCATGCACTCGCTCCGCGTAGTGTTGCCGATCACGGTGACGAGGCCCGCCACCGCAAAGTTGCTCAACGTCTGAGGCGACGGAGGCAAGTTAATGAGCATGTGTTGTCGGATAGTGCTGTCATCTGTCCGTTAGGGCCAGGCTGAACTGAGTGGTCCGCGACAGGGCTTCTACGTTGTGCACCTTTGCCCAGCACCAGTACTTATCGGTGCACTCCTTCAGGTCGAGTCCCCACATCAAGTTGAGAGAAAACGTGAAGGTGTGTTCGATGCCAACCAACCGAGCCGTCTGAGCCGGGTGGTAAGACGCAATCCTGTCGTTGTCCGGGTACTGCAGTGTGTGGAGATTCCTCGTGTAGGAGTCCAGATCAGCTTGGGGAAGGTGCATCCGGTACGTTTCGTTGCACACAATCTTCTGCGCATCCACGAGTGCAGCCGCGAAGTGCCGCTCGTCCGCTCGCGGGACGCCGTGTGGCATGTAGCGCTTTGCGTATTCGTTGCACGGACTCTCGAGCATGGGCAGGATCGTCCTTGTCTTCATGTTGCGGAGGTCATCGCTAGTCATGGCGCGCGTGTAGATGACCGGTGCCTGGGTCAGGAGGACTTCGGCGACTTCGTAGAGCTTGGAGGATTGGTTGCGGCCGGGGTTGAGAAGGCGCCAGGCGGCATCGCCGTTAGGACGATCCGTTGCAATGTCTTTCGCGGCGAAGGATTGGGTGCCAGAAGCCAAATGAAGCGCGATGTGGTAGTACCTATTCGCGGGTTTAGAACGTGCGTGAGGAGACACGTTTGCGCTGCAGAGCAGAGGCAGCGTGTGGCGTTACTGGATTGCGTTGTGCAAGCAGTGCGTCATTTCGTAGCGGGCGGCTCCATTGATGTTGTCGGTGGCCGACGACAACGTCAGCTTTCCATCGTGCATCTTGAAGTGCCACTTGCCTTGCCGCACTCCCCCGGCAAGCAGCGCCTCCTTCCGGAAAGTCCTGAAATCGTACTCGGGATTGAGCAGTGAGTCGAGAATCGGTTGCTTTCCTCCGTCCCGTTCAGTGCTGATGACCGTTTCGTCGCAGGCGAATGTGTATGTGCGCTTGTCGTCGTCGTAGGTGAGGAACTGCGCCGCCCAGGTGTTCTGGAAGATGTTTGCCATGCGCTCCTGTGGCATCACATCTTCCTGCCCCAACACGAGGCCCATGTTCCCGTTGTAGCTTTGCTCCACATAGGCGTTGAATTTCTCTGGATCTTCAATGAGCTCAAGCTCGGCCCCCAGGAACGGAACCGGACCTGGGTGGACGTTGTGCACGATCCGTGTGATTGACTTGAGAACACGCTGGTTGAATGGCGGTTTGAAGAGGAGCGCATCGGCAACTGGTTCAACCAGTGGGTTCAGGAGGGTGTTGCGCAAGGTCTTCGCACGCTTTGAGTCCGGTGCCAGCTGACCGCCCGCAACGCAGCGCGGACCCGTCCGCTTTTGATTCGGTCTGCAGATCGATGGGGTAGGCATGTAGGGCTTGTATTTGCTGTCGAGCTGCTTCGACTCGTCCACTGGGCGTTGGGCAAAGAAGATGCCGCCCAAGTTCGGGGCTTCGTGGTCGTGGCGATCAAGGCAGATCGCCGCCTGCTCTGAGTCTTGCTCCTCGGCGGTGACGTTGGCGCACATGTCATTGCAACGGACGTGGAGGGGGTCCGGGCCGACTCCTTCCAGAAAAGGGAACATGTCGTCGCAGACCTGGAATGATGGAGGAGGCGATGGAGGAGGCGATGGAGGAGGCGATGGAGGAGGCGATGGAGGAGGCGATGGAGAAGGAGGAGGAGGCGAAAAGCACTCGCCGATGCAGTCGAGGCGAAAGTGGATCGTCGTGCAGAAGAGGCAGCGAATCCCCGACAGACTTCTGCAGGGGCAGGTCTTGCTCGAGACTGCGTCCTCCGACTCGCCGTGGGTCGCCGCGAGCGTGAGAACGAGGAGGAAGGGCTGCTTCATCGTCTGCGTGCGAGGAGAAGAGATACGCGACGCCTTTTCGGCCTTAGGTAATCGGAAGGGACTGAAGACACGCTGCGGTTAAATAATTTTCTCCTTGGCGTCCTCCTGGTCCAAGAGAGACCTCGAGAGAGCGTGCGTGTGCCTCTACTCGCCAGGTGTGGGTGGGCGGGGTGGGTGGGGTGGGTGGTGCTTGGTGGTGTCTCTCGCGATGGTGCATGGTGTCTCTCGCGATGGGGGCTGAAGCACTTGCTGAAATCAGCGCGGAACGGGTGGAAGGAGCGACAGGCTGATAAAAAATAAATAAAGGCGCGGCCGCAGTCCTTCTGCTTCGAGGCCCCCGGCCGCTGGGGCGCCGCAACCGACGAGTAGCGCTATCACGATGACACAACCCACATGATTAATTACCTGTGTCGCTAATGTTCAAACAAGCGGTCGTGTCGTGCAGCTCGGGTGTTGGGGAGGTTGTGGGAGCCGCTCAGGACCATTTTGGGGGCGAAATTCGCCTGGTTTCCCTTGAACACGCGGTTTCGCCCCCTCGGGAGCGCCCACATAATCGCGCGTCCCCCCCTGTGGCGACGGTCTCGCGCACCTGCGCCAGACCCCACCGCACTAGCTACATAGATCGTCAGCAGTAGGCGTGCTCAGAGCCCGGATTTGGGCCCATTCGCCAGAGGGCTCGAGAATGGCGCCCGGCAACGTGCAGCTGCAGGCCAGAGGGCGTGAGGTGAGGCCGAATCCGCAGTCGCACGAGCACCGCTGCCCCCAGCGGTGATCATGCATGGAGTGGCACGGCGGATAGATAAGCCCGCCTGCGAGCGTGGGAGAAAGTCGCGGGGCGTGAGGTCTCAATGTATCGCAGGCTAGGACCGGATACGGCGGCGCGGGAGAGGGAGGGAAGCGTGAGCGGCGGGCGATGAGAGTGATTTCCCCGATCTCGCTAAAAATGGCCTAGTCCCCTCACGGGGGACCGGGCGAGCACGCACCTCGCGTCTGAGCGCGAGTCGACGAGTGGTCGCCGAGAGATCGCCGAACCACTTTCGAGTGCGCGCGCACACAGCACAGCTGCGGGTTGTAACTCGACTGCCGATCGCGCGTGCGGGATGTAAATGCAGCTTTCTGGCGCCAGGTGCACGGTGGCAGGGACCGGAGGCTCGGCCAAAGGGGAAGAGCAGTCCTCAATCGTCACGTAGAGGTCGCTGGGCTGGATCCATCGAACTGCCTCACACCTGGAGCGGAGGCACATCAGGTCTTGCAGCACGCTCTCCGACAGATGTATGCCTTTTGAGCAAGCCCACGCGCCTCCACCGTCGCGTAGTATGCCAGTGGCACGCCGGTACGCCTACGAGTCGTGCGCGCTCGGCTATAATCGGCGTTGAGACTGCCTAGCGCGCACATCGAGAGCGCCGAGTTGCCTTGCCGCGGGGTAACCGGCTCAAAGAGGTGGGGTTCGAGCGGCGCCTGAGCGCGTGGGAATGCGTAGTGGGCTTGGAATGAGACGCCTGGCGTGCATCGGGCTCGGACGGTGTCTGTTGTGAGCTCACCGCTCGACGCACAAACCAGGCGCTTTAGGCGCCCGCCAACTGGCCTCACGGTCGAGAGAGCGGAACGCGGCTCGCCGAACAGCAATACACGTGGCCGCACTACTGTAGAGGTACGAACAGGTATGCAGATCGCGGCGCGCCGACTACTGGCACGGCGTCAGAGCCAATATTGACCAGGGCTCTGCTGGCCTGCCGACTCTCGCCGACCCCTCGGGCTCACAGGCCACGGCTGGCCATCGCGTGAACAGGACGTGCCCTTCCGTTTTGGGGCAGCTCAAAACCTTCCCCACGGGACACCAGGTCGATATCCGGCTAAACCACACGACCCCGAGAAACGCATAAGCCGCCCCAGCGAAATGGCCGATAATCGGCCGTATCGGCCATTTCGCTGGGGCGGCTTATGCGTTTCTCGCCAAAATGGTTAAGATGTCGAGCCAAAGCTGTTGACGCCGAGTTCGGCACCCGATTCGCCCCAAAACTGAAGGAGGGGGCGCGGCTCGGAGATGGCAAGGCACGGCGAGTGCAAACGTGCGGCTATTATGACGCGTTTAGGGGCTCCAAAACCTCCTTTTCAGTGGTAAGCGCCACCTGGCACCTTGCGCCGTGCCCCCCAGCCGCGTGTGCGATCGCCCACGGATCCGGGGCGGGGGATAGGAGCCCGAAACGTCCACGCAAGTATGCTCGGCGGCTCGTCTGTCGTCAGAATGGTTTTTTTCAAGCGTTGTGTCATCGTGCGCTATCGGCGTGCCAACAGGGCCGCAAGGGGCGCCGCGCAACAGTGAACAGAGATATGATATGGAGTCTCAAGAGTCAGTTGGACTCTGAGACTCGCGCACAACCGCACAGCACATCTCTCTCAGATTAAAAGCTCTATTGGTTTCGCTCTCTCCCCGCACCGACGGGCCACGGCGGGGCCCTGAGGCGCTTGCGACCG